CTTTTCATATGATCAAAGCTCGTTTAAATGTAAATCTGAAATAATTTAGTTTAGAAATTATAATGATTATCAGAAAAATTACCAAGTGATCATGAGAAATACTTTGCTGTTTTGCCAAATTTCAAGGTCTATCTGCATACAAAGGAAGACATTTTTACTTTATAGAAAATGCTTTTCATACATCACTAAACCTTTGGAATTTATGGCAAACAATCTGGTATGAGCCGTAGATTAACACACCTTTACATCTCTACATGAGGTGTTCAGTTAGAAAAGGGGACAATATGTGACCTGGGACAACATTTCATGTATGTGAAATACTCAGGTTTAATACAAATCCAGTCATATTGTCAAAATAGAAAGCTTCATGGATCAGAAAACTCAAAATCACAGGTTATAGTAAACAGCTTCTCATGTAATCAATGTTAGTTTTCTCAAATCTTAAACAATATGTAGTATAACTGTCCAATGATTGAATGATCAATGATCATAAACTGAAAAGCCCCAAAGATTTGTTTATGATAAAGTAAATAATAGTATGGCGCCTTATGGCTACAGATTTTTTGTCCATTGAAATGTATTTGCAGAAATGTAGGATTTCGCTGCCATATAACGGCCACGATTCCCCAAGCATTAAAGAAATCATAGCTAAAAGTCCTTCGGCAACAACAATTTTAGAAGCATCAACGTGCTTACCATACGCCATATTAACATAAATCGCATCACACACTCGCATAAATTGACTTTGATATATTGCATTCATGCATACACTTCACTTGTCCTTTACTTACGATTTTGGATGTAAATTTCTGCTGATAAAATGATAAAACTCAGAACAATGTTGGCTTTCTTTTGAACATCAATGACTGAAATGTCGCTCGCGAGATCGTCTTTGCCAAGCATTTACAATTTATCCATAAATTTTTCACCCTCTTGAAAAAAATTCACAAATTGGACAGCAGCATTCATGTCAATATATGAGTTTGTAAAAGATTCCAACATTAACAGTACCCTCATAGATGTTACCACAATATCCCTCTATCTGACGATGACGATGGTTATTCTGTGTACCTGTACCTTTCCATATGTAATAAACACCTTCAATTGTTGGATTACATTCTTTTCAATTCAATTTAAAATACCATCTCTTGCAACAATTATCACAGTTACGAAGACAGAGATTGCCAGCGTAGAGCACGCGAAGATAAGTATTTTCACGTTTTTTCTTAAAGTTGCATATCTAAAATACATCGAGCAAGGAGAAATAGTTATGTACATTGTAAGCACGCATGCGTGAATTTCAACTACTGAAGCACTCCCAGTAATGAATTACATCTGGTTGGGTAAATGCTGGGGATTCTGTTTGACGTGCAAGATGACAGATTTTACAGAAAGTTCTCATTTCATCTAAACGTTCGTAGAGACTAGAGAATGTAAGTTAAGTAACGTTTTAACATTAAAATTGTCTAATTTTTGAACGATTAATGCAAGCCATAAAAACTCGTCGTAGAAATAGCCAGCTAAATTACAACTTTTTTTGCAATTAAAATATAAAAAGAACAAGCTATGAATTTTTCTAGTCTTCTAATTTCTAATAATTTTTGATACTGACGTTATTCTCATTTCACGTTGCTTTTTTGTACGCTTTTTACGCTCCATACATAAATATTCTAGGAACTTAATGAACTTTTGGGTACAGTGCATGAAAGAACCTGTCTAATTACACTCCAGAAACCGGGTTATAAAAATGTCAAAGTTGTAAACGTCTTTATTTTCCATTTGACGTTCTCGACAGGAATTTAGGCTATGGATTTATATTACACTAGTATGACATATTCCAAGATTTGATCAATAAAAATTTATAAGTAAAGACTTTATCAAATTTTTGTTCACTTCTAAAATTCTTCAATCACATTTATTCAAACATCTATTTATATACAAGAACAAATACAAAATAGTTTAACTCTTAACGGAAAACAACTTAACTAGGACAAATTATTACACTTTTTGCAGAGTAATTTTCTTTCGATTTCATTCACTTTTAGTTATTGTGGGCTCACATTTACATAAATGATTATTTGGTTTTGCTTTAGATTATAGTAAATATGTAGGCTAGCAAGAGAAAAGCAAAATTAAAATTTTATAGAATAAAAATTACATTTTCAAGTGTCTTCATTGTCACTAAATGTTCAACTGTTTTTAATAATGATACAAGTATTTACCTTTAAAAGTCCATTATCAAGATCATTATTTTCTTTCCATGTGCATTGCTTCCAGTTGATTCAATATTATTTCCTGAGCACCTACTTTACTAGTCTCACCTTTTTTACCCTTTGCACCAGTGCTTTCCAGACTACCTTGGATTCCTTTGTCACCCTTCGACCCAGATGGTCCTCTGATTCCTGGCCTCCCATCTCTTCCATTGGAGCCTCTGGTGCCTGGGAGCCCATGGACACCAGTAGTTCCAGGTGCACCAGGAATTCCAGGTGCAGCACAACAGGATGTGCATGAATTTAGCTTCTTTGCAATAGCTCTAGGCTCTCGCATTCTCTGTTAACGCATGAAAATAATGTATAAATGACTGTCTGAATTTAGTTTCGTTTCTCTGTGCTGAAGCTTAAGACTTTTTAAGATTTTTGCTGATAAGATTTTACAAATAACGAAAAGAAGTCCATGCTCGTGGTAGCTTTTAACAACCTGAAAGTTTTTCGCAACAGTTGAACTTCCGCTTGTCTCGAATCCACGCTAAATTTGCATATATTTTTCCCGAATAGTCAATTCTATTTCGTCACTGTTCTACGTCACTAGGAAGTCATGTGAGATAGAGCGCGCGATATCAAGATCAGTTCGAGCGTAGATTTCACAGCAATCAGTTACAAAAAGTTCCTTTCCACATTATACTACAATTTTTTTTTTTAAATTATGGCTTCTACAAGTGAAGAGTATATGACAAGAGATGATGTCGGAGATGAAGCAGCACTTCTGGGTTTTGCTGAACACGATGAACAAGATGACATGATGGAAGAAAGCGAAGAAGTGCAAGACACATCAAAGAATTTGAATGTGGCAACGGCCCTTTGTAGGATGAGTGAGGCAATGTCTGCAATGAGTGAATCACTCAGGTTAATGCAGCAAACGTCAGTATCCTCTACAGTAGAATCTACTCGTAAGAAGAAAGCAAGTGCTTTAATCCCTGAATCAGGGCATGACGCAGATTGTGAAGTCTTGTTGGCACAAAACGAAGAACCTTCGACCAAGCGCAATTCTGAAGCAGAACAACTAGCAGTGGACCCGTTGCTGGAAGAGATTTCGCAGACTCTAGACGAAACTGAGAAAACTTCACCAATCGTCAACGAGAAGCTCACCTCAATTATCAACCAGCGTTGGCTGAATAAGCTGAGCGACGAGCAATTGAAGGAAAAACAGGCTAAATATTTTAGGCCTAAGAACTGCGATCGCCTTATTGTACCTAAGGTAAACCCCGAAATTTGGGGAAAATTAGACCGCACAGCTAGAGGGCGTGATTTACAATTGAGTGCCATTCAATCCGCCCTGACGAATGTCGGTCATATAGCAGCACAAACCACCAATGATTTGTTGGTTGCCCGCAATAACAGCAGCGAACTGAATATTGATAATCTTGTTTGTATGAACGCTGATATCATAGCGATTCTGGGACATGTAAGTTTTGAATTGTCTCAACGACGACGGGACGCTATACGTCCCAATCTCCATCGAGAATTTAGTACTTTATGCGCATCGCATGTTCCCATTACGAAATATTTGTTTGGAGATGAATTGCAAACCCAAATTAATCATATTCGCACATCCAACATAATTGGCAACGCGACAACAAGCTCGTCTAACACCATTTGGCAGGAACATTCCAAACAAGGGAAACGACAATGGCGCCATTTTTATCCCGTCATCAGGGCAACACTCCTATCGGTCGAAAAGGAACCAATTCGGGAAGAAACGATCGGACACAATGAATGGTCGCAAGTAGAAAACACTGAATTTTGAAGAAATTTTAAGACTTTACAGGTAAATCAGTATTCTTGTTTTGTACCTACGCTAATAGCGTATTTGAATAAAAGCATGGGACCTATCAGGCTGGAAGCATATCAAATTTTTTAAGTGCATGGGAAACACTCACCTCTGATAAGGAAATCTTAGAGACAGTGTCCGGACAAACAATTGAATTTGACACAATTCCGATTCAAAGAGCTTTACCCAAGCAACTACAGCTACCCGAGGTTGAAATGAACAATATTGATTTAGAAATAAACAAATTACGCAAAAAAGGCGTTTTGCAGATTTCTCACCCTGAATCAGGGGAATTTATATCTCCAATTTTCACTTGCCCCAAAAAAGACGGTTCTTTTCGCATGATTCTTAATCTGAAATCCTTAAACAGGCATGTCAGATATCACCATTTTAAAATGGAGTGTGTTTGGTCAGCTATAAGGCTTATGAAACCAAATTGTTTTATGGCATCCATCGATCTCAAAGAGGCTTACTATTCCGTACCTATTCACCCAGCATATCAAAAATTTCTCAAATTTTGGTGGAGAGGGCAACTATATAAATTTGTCTGTTTTCCAAACGGCCTAGCCATCTGCCCTCGAAAATTTACGAAACTCCTCAAACCTGTTTTTTCAAATTTACGTCAAAAAGGACATATTTCGGTTGGATTTATTGATGATACTTGGCTGACATCCGACGCATATGTTTCCTGTGTTCGGAATATTCGAGATACCATCTGTTTATTTAGTGAAGTGGGGTTTTACGTACATCCGGATAAGTCAGTTTTAGTTCCCTCATAAGTAATTACTTTTTTGGGTTTCCGACTTAACTCAGTTCTTATGCAAATATCTGTAACGACGGAACGAGCTGAGAAGATAAAACGCATGTGTTATGAGCTGCTACAAGCTTCTCACCCTAAAATAAGGGATGTTTCTCGGGTTTTGGGCACTCTAACTTCTTGCCTCCCGGGAGTAATGTACGGTCAGTTGCATTATCGCTGGCTGGAAATGGATAAAAGCGATGCCCTTAACTTAAACCGGGGTAATTTTTACAAGACAATGACCCTGTCTTCAGAGGCCATACATGATTTACGATGGTGGCAGTCATCAATATGCACGACTTACAGGCAAATTACTCACAATGAACCTAGTAAATGCCTAACAACAGATGCGTCGTTGACAGGGTGGGCTGCTCCTAAATGGTGTATGTGCTGGGGTAACTGGACGCCCTTGGAGGCTTCAAATCATATAAATTATTTGGAAATTCTTGCGGTATTGTTTGCCCTTGAGTCGTTTTCTTCAGAACTAAAAGGTCAGCATGTTAAGGTATTAATTGATAATACTACCGCTGTAGCTTGCATTAATCAAATGGGCACATGTCACTCAAGGTCTATTCACAAGTTGACATGCAATATCTGGACCTGCTGCATTTCGTATGATATTTGGTTGACAGCAGCGCACATTCCAGGATTACAAAATGTCACAGCGGATCGAGAATCTCGAATATCACGCAGAGAAACAGAATGGCAGTTGAACAAGACTCTGTTTACGTGTGCCATTCAAAAACTAGACGTAACTCCGAACATTGATTTGTTTGCGTCGAGGTTGAATCATCAAGTGAAACCCTATGTTTCATACCAACCTGACCCGTATGCTATAGCTGTCAACGCCTTTACGATATCGTGGGCCAATTATACATTTTATGCGTTCCCGCCTTTTAGCATAGTTTCGCAAGTGTTACAAAAAATAGTACAAGAGAAAAGCACAGGACTAGTCTTAGTCCCTAACTGGCCAACACAAAGTTGGTGGCCAGCTTTAATGCAGATGCTAATAGCACATCCTGTTGTTTTATCTAGAGGAAGAATGACCTTAACTCTTCCAGCTCATCCGGATCAAATCCACCCTCTCCATACAAAACTGGAGCTACTACTTTGCCATTTATCGGGGAACTCCTCTCTGATAGAGGCATTTCACCAGAGGCTTCTCAAATCATCCAGCAGTCCTGGCGGACCGGTACCAAGAAGCAATATTCTACATACCTTAACCGTTGGCGACAATATTGCAATGCAAACAATATCGATCCTGTCGCGTCCTCTGTAGAGGAGGGCATTAATTTTCTTACAAAATTATACCAGGAAGGTTTATCATACAGTGGTATTAATACTGCAAGGAGCGACTTATCTACTATCCTAATGCTACCAAGTGGCATCTCGTTTGGTACACATCCACTCGTTGCTAGGTTTGTTAAAGGTGTATTTGTTGCAAGACCAGCTCTTTCTAGATATGCCATGGTCTGGGATGTTTCAGTGGTATTCGAACATCTTCGAAATCTCCACCCTCCCAAAGATCTCAGTTTGAAATCATTAACACTAAAAACAGTAATGCTATTAGCTTTGTTATCTGGTCAGCGATGCCAAACACTTCATGCATTGGATATTTCTCATATGGAGAAGAAAGAAGATCGAATAGTTTTTCATGTGCACCAACTGCTCAAAACATCTAAACCTGGTAAGCATGCTGCTCCTTTAGAATCTCGGGCTTATCCACCAGAGCCTGGGTTATGTGTATTCAATTACTTGTCCCATTATCTAAATGTCGCTGCACCCATACGAAATGGTGCAAGACAACTCTTATTGAGCTATCAAAAACCTTATCATTCGGTCACTTCAGCGACCATTTCCCGATGGTTAAAATACGTGTTAAAGGATGCTGGTATAAATACTGAGGTTTACAGTGCACACAGCACTAGAACTGCATCAACTTCTGCGGCAAATGCATTGAATATTTCTATGGACACTATTATGAATGCAGCTACATGGCGTAATGAACAAACTTTTCAAACATTTTATAATAAACCAATTGAGGCGAAGAACTTTGGCAATGATCTACTTTCTGCCATTTGTGAGACTTGAAATGTGAAATTTCAATTATATTCTTTTGTTATTAGTTATTGCTCATGTCCACATTGCTTTAAAATCTCACATGACTTCCTAGTGACGTAGAACAGTGACGAAATAGAATTAGAAAATTAAACGAGACTTACCTGAAGTCGAAGTTTGATTGAAATTCTATGAGTTACTGTTCAGGAACTAGGAAGTCACCCACCCAACTACTAACTTACTTCTTTTCAAATGATGTTAAATACTACTTGCCTTGCAATAAGTATGTGGACGTTCGCAAATTTTTAAAAACTGATCTTGATATCGCGCGCTCTATCTCACATGACTTCCTAGTTCCTGAACAGTAACTCATAGAATTTCAATCAAACTTCGACTTCAGGTAAGTCTCGTTTAATTTTCTAATTATTTATGATGTACTTTGTTTCGAACAGCTAACCCTGTCAGGATAGCTGTAATGAATTACAATATAAAGATCACATGAATATTTTAAGAGGCAATTTACACCATTTATCTTTATTATACACCTGAAATTATTATTGAAATAAAGTATTTGAAAAATTTCTGATGTAAAGTGCACTGACACATTAAGCGCAACGCAAGTCATTGAGGATATTCAATAATAACATTTACGGCAATCATGCATATTTTACCATTGCCAATTGTGCAGATTGACAGCTTGTTACGGCATACACAGATCTAGATTTTATAATACTTTATAGTGATGAACATTAACGGTTACGAGTAAAATGAGTGGAAAACATACATGTTTATTTAAAGTTAGATGAATTAGTGATTATAATAATGCATTTGTTTAACTTATACCACTTGTTTGTTATACGTGTTGTGTGATTATATAATTTATTATTTGTTGTTATTACAAAAATGTAATTATGTTTGATCACTACATATTGCGGAGGAGACTTAAACTACCTTACAATTGATAATATTTACATATTTGATTTCTTTCTCTGTGGTTGACTTCCTTATAGTTCCTTTTGTCTGCAGCAGCTCGATAGTGGTTTTACGAGATATTTAAACATAAATATTTGATTGAAGTCGGAGGACTATCACATAACGGAAAATAGCAGATCTAGGCACCGAATAAAACAAAAATTTGTAAATGTTGAAGAAATTTTGTGGGTGTTTTTGTTCAAATATTTTGCAATTTATGAATTATATGTATTACAAAGAACTTTTTAGTATTGTAATTTACAATATCTACTAGTCAATTTCCAGTTTCAACAAGTTTTTGTTAATAATATTGCAGAGTCCAGTTTAATATATTTTGGTAGTCTGATTCTTTGAGCAGGGTCTCATCCAGACGAATAGGACGATTGCATTTGTGTTTAATGCTTGCGTTTTGCGTTGAGAAACAACTGATGGATTAAGGCAATAATTTACCTAAAACCTTTTGTGGTTTGAATTATACAGATTATACTTTGGTATATCCGTTTCTGATTCATGTATACAATTCTTCTCGGTATATATTTAAAAAATTGGATTTATTTTGCATGCAAGAATCCAAACATTCGTAACAATTATGGATGTTGTTTTCTTCCACATGCAAGTATATTGCTGAAAGGAACAATCATGCACCCAATTTTAGGCGGAAGTATGCTAGTTAAATTCACGGGCGCCTTTATGACGTTGATTGTTTGTCATATCAATCTGAGACGGTTGCCCAAATTTGTAACATTTTCAAAGGCGTTAAAGTAATAAGAGCAGAATAGCACTCTATAACCTTACAACTTTCTCATTCACGACTACGAAATGTGAATGATTTCAAACTTGAAATAGTTTTATTAATGAAACATAGTGCATCGTGAAAAGTTATAGTACTGTAAAAAATACATTAAGAATCGAAAGCTGTAAATGAGAACACCCATCTCCCAGTGATGCATCTCTTACGATTTTTACCAATTATTTTAAATTTCAATCCAGGGTATAGCAAGAAATGATTGCATTTGTAGTAATTTTAGGAGATAACAAAAATTTCTACAACCAGTCAATGTCTCAAAGCCAACACTTAAACAAATGTAGTGTATTTTATTTTAAACAGGAATACGTGCACACTTATACGAATTTTAACAATCAAGACACTTTAGTTTTGAAGTTATAAACTTAGTTGACTGTTATTCTGTTTATGATTTGCAAATTGAAAACGCACCATAACCTACTAGTGTTAGCATTGAATACTTACAGTTTCCACTTGAATTTCAATATTACATTCAGCCAAATACACGCACAAGGCCATGACCCAACATAATGTAACTGGTGAAGCAACTTTCATCATTTAGTTGAAATTAAATGTCGTTTTAACCTTAAGGAGAAGTGGACAACAGAAAAATTTAAAGAGCTTGTACGTAGCACTGTTTGTCTTCGACTTGAACGGAATAATGAACAAGTGGCAGATCCTAGCTGAGACCAAATAAATTTTGGCCGCTAATTTGAAATTTAAAATACTTCTATACCGACATCATTGGTAATACAATTACAAAGAATAAAATTCAACCAATCGATAGACTGGATGGAATTATTTGTATATTAATGCCTGAACGAGCGCTTTTTGCAAGCATCACTGAATTTTAATTAATCAAATTTCTATGAGAAATAAAGTCATTTTAATGACTTGAAAATGTGGAATATTTTTAATTAATTAAACGAAGATGTTGTAAATAAAACAATCTAGATATTTTTAAAAATTTCATTAAAGCATCTTCCACACTACATAGGTGTGATAAACTCGAAATTGGAGCCGTTTTTATTTTGATTTAGCTTTAAGGTCTACAATACGACGTACATACCAACAAAACCATAGATCAACGAATCATTTGTATTGTGAACAGAAACCCCGTTTTCTTCAATCGCTTATTTTGACTGAAATATTTCTTATATACCTCCTCAGTTAATATTTAATGCCACAGAATTAAGCCCAACTTCACACATTCATTGCCATCAACTCACTCAACTGATGCCAGGAAAGCAACGAATTGATTTCAGTTTTGCTAGCAACAACGGTTATCAATCTTTTATCGATCTTTTGATGACCTTTTGCTTGGTGCAACATTTTTAACCAAATAAAGGAAGTAGAAGTTTCAATTCTTCTGAAAAAGCATTCTGAAACTTAGCAAACCTTTGCAGCCACATACACATGCTGAGGATACAATAAGCAGAATGATAGTTAAGTCCTGTTGATGCTCTTAACAAATTATCATGTACTCTTAAATCTTAAATCTCTTAAATCTTATAAATCTTAAATCTTAAAAACTCATACATCTTATCTATTGACGAATGATGCCCCAGGAAAACCGTTCATGGATTTGGTTTATCGCCTCAAGTTGTTTTAAAAATCATAAGATATATAAGAATGACTATGATAGTACGTACATTCGTTAAGTAAATTTATGTAACTTCTTTCAACAAATGCAGAAATGGAAGATCTTGCAGAAATTTTTTTAACTATCATGAGTTTCATAAATGGTTTAGGGAAATAGATACCATACATATGTTTTGCATTACTCTAGACTAACCACGAAGACAATACTCGGTTGACACTCACACTTTTCCTGTACACATAATACGATGACGTATGAACCAGACATATGAATACAGCAATGACTCTAAAGCTGACTACCGCTAAGTTTGTCGAAACGTCAGTCAACATCAACACCAACAGTCCTTCTCAGGACTACACTAACCTGGACGATCTACATCCACAAACATAAAACATATTGATATTCCTATTAGCAACTGTCATGCACTTTGCATGATAAAATCGTTATTTTTTACAACGAAGTCGTCAAAAGAAAACACTACATTATTCAACAACAACAACATCTCGAAATCTTTTATTTCTTAACAACAACTCCCCCCTTCTGTGATAATCCCAAAGTGTCAATCACGTGAAATGCACGCGCTACGACACAACAAAACAAAATAAAAACAACTGTTCATCACACTCCCGACGTTGATCATATTGATCAATTTATTTTCACGAGTTTTTACTATTTGACTGTCGCAATAGGTCTCCAATCACGGCTGCCGTTCTCCGTTGTCGGGTTTTCATAGAGTTTTCGTATTTAGACTCAATTCTACTAAAGGTTTTGGGAACCACGGGATTTGCTGGAGGCATATTCAACTCAAGTGGTATCAGTTGTTGTATTGGACGACGTAATTCTGACGATCGAGCCTTTGTAGTACTCGCAACACAGACCTTTGCTGCTCGAACAACACCATCCTTACTTACTATGAGCTCGGTATCTCTTGCCAATTTCCACAAAATTCGAGGGGAAAGATCATTTTTTAACACAACAACATCACCGACAGCTATCTTCTTTCTGTGCTCCATGAAGTAAGCGTGAAGTCTCTCTGACGCTTAAAAGATATTCCGTTCTCCAACGATTAATAAATTGATCTAACAAACGTTTCTGATATTTCGCCTTTCTGGATAGAGTTCGATTCGTACTGATGATTTCAAATTGTCGATAACTAGCCGTAAGAGTAATTTGCCGTCCGTATATTAATTGAGATGGAGTCAGAGGGTAAGAAATTCCTTCTTGGTCATCATAGATATATGTAAGTGGACGATTGTTAATGGTAGCCTCAATTTCTACCAAAATGGTTCTAAGCGCTTCAAAATCCATTGAGGATCGACCGAGAGTTTTCTTTAAACATCTCTTTGTACTTTGTATCACTCGTTCGTAGAATCCTCCTTGCCAAGGTGCCTTTTCAATGATAAATTCCCAATTGACACCCTTGGAAGCCAGTTCGCGTTGTATGTCAGTTGATCTCAGTATATTAGTAACTTCCCTTGAGGCACTTTTGAAGGTCTTGGCATTGTCTGATATTATTCTAGACGGCAAACCTCTTCGTGAGACAAACCTTCGGAAAGCTTGCAGAAACGATAGCACAGACAAATAACAAACAAGTTCAAGATGAACAGCTCGAGTGGAAGCACAAGTGAACAAACAGATATATACCTTATCCATTCTTTGATTGTTAGTAGCGTATGAGGGGCCTGCAAAGTCAATACCGGTGTTTGAAAAGGGAGGCTCTTCGCTTACTCGACTTGATGGCAAACATGCTTCCTTCGCTGCTGGGAAAGCTTTACCTTCAAATTTCTTGCATTTGATACATCCACGCACAACACCCTTGATGCACTCTCGACCACGCAAGATCCAGTATCCAGATCCACGAAAGTTTATCATGGTGTCAAATAAACGTGGAACCAAATTTGGTCCCTTTTCGAGGCAATCATAGAGTGACTGCTCTTCCTTAGTAGCTCTTGCCGATCCATCGAAAACCACGCGAAGTTTTGTAGTTTCCTTTATCTTCTCGAAGTACGCCATGATGGGGTAGGAAATAACCGATTTCATGAGCAACAAGAACTGGGTCAATAATTCCTCCTTTCACTTGATCTTTGATAATTGTATCGTATTCTTGCAATAAGGGTTTATCTTTATCGAGACGAGACTTCAACTGGTGTAATCGTTTCAAACACATACCGTAACAGTCTGATTTTGGAATATATTCCCCTTTCCAAGGTAGGTTCACTTCATATCTCCCTTCATCCTCCAGATATTGTATATTCTTCAGAAACTCCTGATCCTGTGATTCGTTGGATTCTTTGATGCCCATTGATTCGATCTCCCAAAACCGTTTCAAGCATTCATGTAATTTGGGTTCTCTCTTGTCAAGCGGAAATTCCTTTGAAAAAGAGTAATCTTCGATGATTAAATTAACGTTTGACAATTTCGAATTAGTTTCACCATCATTCGTCTGTCCAGTGACAATCCAGCCAAATTCACTAGTAATCGCAACAGGACCACCTTCACTTCTTATCAGTGGCGTAGCTAGCGAAAAACATTTGGTCGGCTCACGAGGCGCCACCATGGTTGGCGCGGAGCGAGAAATTTTCCGAATTTAGACTCCTAGAACGTCGGAAACGGCTATTTAGAAAGCAAATGCGTGATATTTATGCAGGAAATAGAACCATTTTGGTTAATTTAAATTGCCGAAGGATCTTATAGTAAAGCAGAGAAATAGTTCAAAAATAGTTGCAGATATGTGATTTATTTTCTCAACACCACATACATAAATAGATACCTATGTACATCTTTGACAAAAGAACCGAAAAAGGCTCAGATTTGTCATCAACAACTATCAAAAGTTGTGATGCCGTTCATTGTCGTGCTGAAATGACAATCATCATTCCCTGCATTAAAAAGTTCCCGGAAAATTTCTCACATGCCATGGACGTAAGACATCATCAGCTTGCTATCAGCCATATATGAATGTATAAGAAAGCAAGTCTTCGTGGTTTTTCAATGAACTTCTTTACTACCTCATCATGCAATGTGTTGGCGTCTTCTTTCTCTGACAGTATGTCTTTGTGAATGGAAATCCTGCAAAGAGAACTAAAACGTCCTTGGCTCATAGTATTTCTAAGATAATTTTTTACCCTCTTCAAACAAGAAAATGACCTCTCAACTGAAGCACTTGTAATTGACAAAACCCCATTTATCTTTAACAGTTTTACAACTTCTGGAATACTAGATTGAAGATGGAACTGAAAAATATATTTCAATAGTTCATCGCATGAATCACGGTGAAAGTCTTTATCTCTGTAAATAAAACAAAGTTGGCTAACTAGCATTGGTATGTCAAACATATCACCATAAACCTCCACTAGAAGATTTATCTTTTCTGAGGGCACTTCACCTTTCCACATTTTAAACACCCTAGGGTTAACAAGGTCTAAAAATTTAAAACGCTCCATATCCTGAAATCGCTCAGTCAGCATAGTCACAATTGTGTCAAGAATTTCAAAATACATTTGTTTGTAATTATGCCGTTGGTCATACCTGGTTACTGGTGGTCCCACTTTCTCAACAGCCAGGTCGTACACCTGACAATATTCTGTATCATTTCTCAGAGAAGCAACAAAGGCCTTGAATCTCTCAACCCTACTCACTCCATAATGAAAGTCAGTGTCCTTGTCTTGCAAGATAGAATAAAGTATGGATGACTGCTCAAGAATTCTATGGAAAACAAGTACCAAGAAACAAAACAAGAAGCCATTAAGGTAGCCAAGTAAACCAGTAACCTTACTTAACGTTTCATCATCCCAAACTATTGGATTATCAGTAAGATTTTCAAATATGTCTATCAGTTTCTCATAGTTAGAATGCAAGACATTGATGACATGAGCCCTATAATACCATCTTGTGTCACCAGGACTAGGAAACTCAAGCCTATGGGATGATAGTAAAGCTTTTCTTTTGGGGGAATTGCTAGTAAAGGTGCAGAAAGCACTAATATTAACAAAGAAAATCTTAACAGGTGAAATGGAGGATGCAGCTTGACATAATACTAGATTTAGTCTATGGGCAGCACAGTGAACAAATTGAGCATAAGGATAATCCTGCTGAACTTGAGCTTGAACACCATTGAGATGACCAGACATAACAGATGCACCATCATAAGTCTGTCCAATAAATTTCTCTTTCACATTATTATATTGACTTAACTTACCCTTAACCACTGATGATATAGCAGTTGCAGTCCTATCACAACTCACATCAACAAACCCAAGCTGTCTTTCAATGACACTTTCCCCTTTGTCCATTCGAACAATTACACTCAATTGTTCTTTGGTAGAAACATCAGTTGCCTCATCAACCTGTATACTTAAGAAAGTGCAGCAATCTATTTCCTTTAAAATCTCATCCTCTATTATCTTATCAAGACAATCAATCAAATCATTCTGAATATCAGGATAGACTCCAGTAAACAGCCCTCCCCCAGCAAGGTGGGTTTCAGCAAGCCTCCCATGTAATCACCTTTCAAAAACAGAATCCATCTTGGCAAAACTTTCAAGTAGCTCTCTATAATTTCCTCTATTCATGCTGCCTCTAGATTCATCATGCCCCCTAAATGCAAGCTCTTGCCTAGACAAGTATAAAACAGCTTCTGTTATGGTTTTCAACATTTCCCTGTTTTGCCTTACCTCCTCGTTATGACGCTGAATCTCTTCACGTCTGGCTTGTGACATGAGACAGTCGACACGAGGCTGAAAACCGTAGGTCCTCCAGGTCTTGTAAGCACCCATGTGCGATTTTGCTTTCTCATGCTTCTTACAATCGGATAGGAAATTCTTCATGTTTTTGAATCCCGTCTGCGTCCATGAAGATGACGATCCAGGGCAAAACAAAAGACAAGGCCAACAGAACAATGCATTCTTTTCTGAGCTACCACAAAGCCAATCTTTCTTCGAGTACCAACTTTCCTGAAAGCTTCTATTGCCTGTAGTCGCTTGTAAATTTGGAATTGGCCGCTGCTTTACGAGTATATTTTGCTCGCCTGATTGTCGAACAGAAAATGGTTTCTTTTGTAGTTCACTTATTTTATCGATTTCATTAGCCGAAGCCATTGTAATGTAAGTTATCACGATTTCCGAACGTATATTTCGAAAGCTCAAAATTCAAGTCACGCTTTTGAAAATGAGCCCGACTAGATGTTGTTAAACGTTTGAGTGTGTTCACAGCTACTCTCAACCAATCAGATTACAAATATTCCCACTATAGATTTTACTACTTGGTCGGGCTGAATTTTCAGAGCCCGACTAGATGTTGCGAAACAGCGCATTTGAGTTTGCTCAGTTGCTGTCAACCAATCAGATTGCAGATAATCCCACTATAGATTTTACTACTTGGTCGGGCTGAATTTTCAGAGCCCCACTAAACTGCGTAATGCCTGGCACTAGAAATGCACTAGTCATTGTTGCTAAGTAACGTTTAAAAATATGATAATTTTGCTAATAACGACGCAATTTGACAAATATTACACTAATAGACTGTGGATTATTCCAAAAAGAGTCGCAGAATTTAAAATTTTTGCAAATCCAATTTTAGAGAAAACAAATTATTCATTTTTGGGAAAATATTTGGTCGGGCTGAGCCCGACCAACCAGACCGCTAGCTACGCCACTGCTTCTTATAGTCTCGCCTGTCATGATATCAAAATAATAATCTGCTCCAATTAGAATGTCGATGTTGCTGTCCGTCTGTCGTCCAGAGAGGATATTGGTATCGGAAAGCTACAACTCCATCAGATGAGGATAATGATTGAGATCAATTGTCGTTGTTAATGGAGAGCAAATATTTGGGAAGCAAAGAGCTGTTATGATTCGATTTCCATTCTTTCCATTTAGGGACAAATGAACCAAGTCGCATTTTTGCTTTGTAAAATGTTGGTTGCCAAAGGTATTTAAGTTAACAACCCTTTTCTGATGGGAACTAGTCCAAGCCGGTTTTTTAATGAATCCGTAACATAAGTGCGCTGACTACCGCTGTCCAAAAGCACGCGAACAGGTATAGAAATGGAACCATTCCCACCATTGGCGTATGTAATAGCTTTTTGCAGAAGAACTTGATTACGCGTTTTTGCCGTATTCGTCGTTAAGTAATTATCTCCATCAATCATAGTTGCTGTGCGAACGTTGTTTCCTTCCTTGGTTTCTGGTAGGTTGTTTCCAGTGGGGGAAAGTTTGGGATCATTTGCATTCTTTTGTTGAGGAGACGTAAAACTTGACTTAATCACTTCACAAATCGATTGATGATGAGCCCCATGACAACGTCTACAATTCTTCTTTGACTCGCAATTTTTACTGAGATGCCCGATTCGCAGGCATACAAAACAACGATTGTCTCTTCTCAATATACTCTTGCGATCATTCACATTAATTACTCTATCACACGATGCCGAAAAGTTTGTCTCTTTACAATAAACACATTGAATATGTTTACCTGAAGTATTTTGAGTCGAAAAGGCGTTCACTGTAGGTATTCTGAGTGTTTGGTGCTGACCTGCTGAATTTTTCCATGCTGTGGCTGTGGACTTGATTGCACTCCTTCACTTATCTCCCGAGCCTCGATCTCAGTCTTTATTGTATCCAACAACTCATCAATTTTCCTAACGTCTCCCGACGATTTTCGCCGAATTCTACTTTCAGCTTGTGCTTACCATGTTATTCGAACAACCTTTAATTTGGTGATTATCTCTTCTGTCTCAGTCTCATAACTTTGTTCAGCACCAAGATCACTCTCTGAGTCTGAGTCACCACTAAGATCATTTGGGTCCAAAATCTCCTCAGCAGGACAACTATCAAGATCAACCACTTTGCTACTAGTTGATGATTCTTCATTGCTGCTGTTGTTGTCATACTCATCTATGAAATAAGATACTTCAGTAATGCGCAGTTACACAAAGTTGATTAAGTCCTTATTTCTTAGTAATTAACTTCAATAATTTTCCAGGGTTGCATGCAAGCTTACTTGGTCGTAGAAATTGAGGTTATTAAACATGGCTGATACTATTATGTTGGCAAATCTTCTCTTGACCTAGAATCATACATGAAATAAAATTAACAGGCCCATTATCTTAAAAAACACTTACCCACTGCAAGCATAACCATTTTAGAACTGCTTGCATAAGTTCTGCTACACTGAAGCTTAAGCTTTGCCCCATACCATAAGTTCCTGTAACGACGTTTCTCTTTTTCAAGTTTTAAACAATTTTGGCATTGTAATTCACATTGCACAGCTAGTTTTTAAATTAGAAACAACAGCAATACATATACAAAGCAATAATTTACATTAACCCTTACAGCATTGGTGAAATAATCATATAAGTTTACCTTCTCTAATACAGGCTCATCCATAGATATAGTAGGACTCATCACAAGTTGTTTCTTTTATTTGCTCTTGAGGTGCGCTACTTGTACTGGGAATATTTTCTGATTTAACCTCTCTTTTATAATTAGACATCCACTTTCTTTTCATCTAAAATGGCATATATTTATGAAATATACTCTCACACAGATTCCAGGTAAAATGTAGATATGCATAAGTATAATTTTTAACGTACTCACCATTCTGCGATCTCTTGTAAGTTCATTGTCATCTTTTCGAGGATAAATGCTCGGCTAAGCAACGATTCCGAATTCGCCTCAAACGAGTCGAGGTGCAAAATTACTTTCTGAGTCGAAAAGCGAGCCGAATTGCCAAGAAAACGAATATTTTGTGAAGTGTTCCGAGAAACTGCGGAATTCTTTGTGAGGACCCACTTATCGCAGGTAGCTTTCACAAAGTTGACCCATCGCTTTCTCCTACGCTTAGCTTCGCTACTTTTGTCGTTAAAAAATGGTATGCAATGAAGTGAAATGCCTTCCTCCGAACTGACTACGTTAGAACAACCAAAAACTACACATCGACTGGCATTTTTGTGTACATGTATAAACCATTGAGTTCTATAATAACTGGAGCGGCTAACATTACTGGGGCGAGGTCGCCAAAAAAATGGCGGCCAACGGACGAATTTCCGCTGAAATGATCGCTTTGCAGAAAAATAATATTCTCGAACTCCCCCTGGTGTCTATAGTAAATTATAAAGAATTTTTCAAAAACAAACACGATATCACAGAATATGGATATCGTTAGTTCCATATTCTGTGATGATTCTTTTTTGGCATTTCTTTTATAATGCCAACACTTCAATCGTTCAATTGTTGGATGTCGTAGTTTCCACAAAAAGTAAAATATCGCTTCTCACAGGTGAGGTAGTTGTTTGTTTTGTTAGTCCGTCAACGATTGAAAAGCAATTATAGATGCACTTGAAAATCCATAAAATACATATTAAAGATCGTATTTTTTAAGAGCTTATTTGAGCTTATTTACCTATTAGAGTACAGAATGGAGATTTATCATATGCATCATTGCTGCTTTTTTAAATAAATGTTTTTCACTTTTCAAAGCTTTTCTACAAATATTTTGCTTCTTATTTCTTTTCATGAGATTGATGATATAGAGGTAATATAATCCAATAACTTTATAATTTCTAGAAAGCTTTTAAGCTTCTAGCATAAAAGTACACTATAGGTATTTAATTCATTTGGTTTTATTGCCTTGCTATGACATATCCATATGCATTTCATCATTCATGTATGAAGAAAACACCAAATGTGGATACTCAGAGAACAAAATACACTACCAACTGCTTATGAAATTTATTATTGAGGTGAAAACTGTGTTAATCATTCAAATTGTGCACTTATATTTCAAATATAGGAAAAACAAAACAAAGTGAAAAAGAAGGGTAGAAGTATTAAAACTACAAATGAATGATAAACACCATTGGAAGCATAAGTGTTTTGATGATTATTTGCATTTTTCCCAATTCATATATCAATACAACAAAATCAAAATGTGCTACAACTTCACAAGTATTTGATGCAGTTGCACTTCAGAACATCACAAAAAGGTTACTTAAAGTAATTTCTATACAATATTGTTTGTTTTCATTTACCAAACCTATGCAGACTTGAGTCTTTTTGAAATTTAATATGAAACTCAATTACAGAAAATCCGTAAATATCCAGAAATTTAATATTTACTTTTTTAAAGAAACAAGTAAAAATCCTACAATTGTGGCGAAAAAAGCCATTGCCTTTCCACGAAAAGAAGCAAAATAGCAATGATAACAAATAAGCTAAATTCTCTCCCGTGAACCACTGTGGAGATGAGCTATGATATACTTTTTTGTATAGACTAAAGAGTTTAATCGATCAAACAAGTTTAACGCTGGTAAGAAAACGGCGCATATTTGCATTCATAGATGTGTAGCCGACATATAGCTCTTTCGTCGATAGTTATAAATACATCCTCGTAGGAGCCGATAACTGGAAAGCTAGGTTGACTCGCTGTTACGAATTGTAGGTTTTTATCGTGATTTTCATCAAAAAATTGCTTGCCGAATCCCAAATACACACATACATTTTCTTCACTCTTTCCTCAGGAGGGAACGGGAAATTGTGCAATTTTCGGAAAAGCGGTCAATTTCGGTAAATTTCAGCGGCAGCGGACGAAATCCGCCATTTTTTTGGCGTCATCGGATATCTAAGGCCGCGCTTGAGATAGCCGCTCCAGTTATTATAGAACTCAATGGTGTAAACAGTGTAAGTTGTACTGGTAGTCAGTCTTTGTTCCTTAAATGACGTCACAAGTAAGTCCCATGCCACGGATTAGAGCTCTCGACATTTTTTACAAAACGTTGAAATTCAGGTTTTATTCGCATCTTTGCCGAAAGATAACTAAAAAACGAAAAAAGTTATACAAATTCTGCATTTGCACTATTTATTCAAAATATATTTGAGAATATAGACTAAAAATACTGACATAGACAACAAAAAGACCACACTGAAAAGAGCTGTATGTTTTTAAAAATCAGCAACAATTATCATAAGTACAGCGTATTCAACAACAATTCAGTTTCAGCTTGGTTTGAATTAAGCCTGAGGTGCTGGAACTTCTTGGATTACAATTCGAGATACTGAATTCCATCCACTGAAGGCGTCTGCATTGGAATATCCCTGACAATTACCGACATAGAATCCAACATTAACAGTACCCTTATCTATGTTGCCACAATATCCCTCGATATGACGATGACGATGAAGATCTTGTGTTCCTCTACCTTTCCAAATGTAGAAGACTCCTTCAATCGTAGGATTACATTCTTTTCCGTTGAATTTAAAATACCATCGCTTGCAACACGCGTCGCAGTTGTAAACACGGAGGCTACCGGCGTAGAACACGCGAAGATAAGTATTGTCCCGTTTTTTCTTAAAACTGCATACCTAGAAAAGCAAAATAACACAGTAATATACATCAGGTATGAGTTACAACATATTGCATCTATTTTATAGTACAAATTGGCTATTTTAAAAAGGAAAAGTATATGCTTTAAAAAAGAAATATGTCTAATATAACATCACTTAGAAATTTGAAATGATTGATGAAAAACACAATTCAATAACACATAACTTATTCTTGTTATATATATTCAAGCCCAGCAAAGTGCTTCTAAAATAGCCATTCAATACAAAAATGACGTATAAAAAGAAATATTTATTTAGTAGCGTAACGTTTCGTCTTGAGAGTTATTAAAGTGCTTGAAAGTACTTTGCTGGGCTTTAATATTTATAACAAGAATTTGCATCCCGCCTGGTATATCCCGGGTTACAACACATAACTTAATTAAACCCATATTATGAATGGTGTTTTTGAATGCCATGCACAAAGGGAAAAGGGATATAATTTATCTTTGTTTCTATCTTGCCTAAAACTGAACGAATGTCAAAAGAGATTTAGTGACAAAATGACACATTCCAAGTGCAGCTAGGATACGTCAGATTACATTGCAGCAATTATGTTAAAATTCAAGACAAATGAAAAGCCTTTATGCTCGTTAAATTTGTGCTCTAAAATGTTTTATGAAAATTAAAACAAGCTGCTTCCAAGGGCCACGCAAGACTTATAATTGGGGGCAATATTTATATATTCATATGTTTTAATTTTGTTAATCCATAAACACAATGATTTCAATAGAAGCTACTAAGGTAGAACATGCATATATGAATATTTGCCTCAGTCCCCAATTATCAATTATACGCGGCGTCTGGCTTCACATAATGTGTTCACACTCTCGTGGCTACTCTAGATTGGTTACTGGTTTGATTATGACAAAATTCGATCAAAAACGTAATCGAATTGAGTTTTACATGTAGAACTCTAATGATTTTTGCTAAACCACTGTGTACAAGAAAAACACAAAACATATTATCTTATAAAAGAAAATTGACTTTTGAAGTGTAACAAATTTTGTTATCTCTGTACATTATGTGCATTTACTTTAAGTTTTGCCAAGCCAGTTTCAATAAAGTGCCTATAATATAGTTCCCAAATTGTGTTAAGGTTTTTGTCTTTCACTTCAAAAATCCAAAATTTAGAGATTGTTAGTCTGGAATAAAGTCTTCTACCAAAGCGGAGTAGGAGTTATGTTCACAAATTTTAATATTTAATAAAAAGATTTCAAACTTTATGAGCTTGTACATATAGTTGATGTTTTATTAATGTGTGCTACAACAAAAAGAAATAAAAGAACTGAGTTGAATAAAATGTGACATTACAATCAACAACGATTTTTTGAAATATATTTGGCATACATATAAAAAAAATTTCAAATAAAAATGCAAAGCCTTATCTTTTATTTATGAACACATATTTTTTTCCTTTCTCCTTCTTAAACACAACGAAACATGTCACCATTATAGCACAATATAAAATTGAACTGTCACTGCCTAAATTATTACTTATAATTAATTATGTATAATGATACCTGCAAAATCAAGTATATCTTTGATCATTGACTAATTATTTCAACAAAATTTGTAGTGATTATTTACCTTTATAAGTCCATTATCTCGATTATCGTTCTTCTTCAAAGAGCATTGCTTCCAGTTGGATTGACTAGTAACTCCTGCAGCGCCTTGTACACCAGCTTCCCCCTTTTCACCCTTAACACCAGTCCTTCCCATACCACCTTGGATTCCTTTGTCCCCTTTTGGCCCTGATGGACCTATCTTTCCCGGCTTTCCATCACTTCCATTTGCTCCTTTGGCTCCTGGCACCCCATTATGACCTGGAACTCCAGGTACACCAGGAACTCCAGGTACACCAGGAGCTCCGGGTACACACGGCAGAGCACAACTGGTTTTGCAAACATTTGATTTCTTGGGAAGACCTCTAGGTAGTCGTGTTTTCTGACAAAATTTAATGAATGAACATGGTTAAGTCTCTTAAAGTGGTTATATCACGAATTTTAGCCCCCCTTTTTTATGAGCTTAATTGAAAATTTGGATTATTTGAAGAACTATGACATGTCGCTGGACTTAAACAGATAAATATAAGTTGCTTAATTTTGCCTCCAAAGTCGGGTACTATTTGCGAATTTTTTACGACGCCATATTGATACTTGTGACGTAGATAGTTGAACACGTCTGTTTCCGTCAATATAATATTATATTATAGAAGGTGATTTTGTTGTCGTTTTTCTTGTCTTAAAAACAAATAATGACAGTATTTTCAATAAAATATTAAAAAACAAGTTGTCTGGAAAGTATGGCCTCAAATCAGTGCTCAGATAATTCGAATTCGATGTCTGAATGCGTATCTGATTCGAGCTCGGAATCCGTTGGTTATGTCGAGCATTTAAACGACTTCGCATATGACGACGAACCGCTCGCAGGAGATGATTATGAAGTGCATACTCCAGATGATCCCGATGGAATTCTCCCTGCGATCTTAGAACAACGAAGTGATGGCGTAATTCCACTCGGTGAATGGTAAGTTGTTGTTTTCTCCTGTTTGTAATATACATAAAGTTACTTTATAAACCAGAATGCTCCCACGTTTCAGGTGTAATTGTCAATGCTGTCATACCGATTTGTTAGAAGGCGCATTAGAGTACAGATGCTGTAAGGAAATTGGACCAGCTTTGCAGAAAATGACATTCGATGGCAGCATTGAGAAAATATCATGCATAACACAGCATGCCAAATTTGGGCCTTTAGTTCATGAGGCTGTTCTTGAAAACGTCGGGCCACTATTGAGAGATAAAAATGGACGTGCTTATCGCCGCCAAGCATCACAATCATTAAATATGTAAGATTGTAAATTGTATGAGAAACAATGTTATAATCAACATTGTTTCATCAACAATAATTAGTCCAACCTTTTTATTTACTTCAGATACTTGAGAGCTGTGGCATACAGATGGTTGATGCGATGGTTTTGTGGGTCTATGGGATGGGAGAATACTCGGCCTTTACCTGCTTGTGTTTACCACTTTATTCGGAAAGCATATCCAAGTGGTAACACAACAGGTTAAATGCCATCAGAGGGGCGATGATGGAATAGTCTTTTAACTTGTGCACTGTAGAGACTGTTGACCTTCTTTGCTGAGTTTGGAATGGTCAGGAAATATGCCTAGATGAAAACCAAATAGGAGATACATGGATGCACTATATAAGTTGACATGCAGTTTAATGGTTTGAAACAAGAGTAAACAATAAAAACAAATTGGTGCAACTACTGAGAGGTTAAGCTGAAAGAATTAAATGAAAGAAAATCTTTTCTTCAATGTCAGTCTGGGAAAAAAGACAAAAGAAAAAATATATGGAATTAAATCATAGCATAAATGTAAAAATGGAAAATAGCAAGCCGTTCAAATGGCGAATCGTTTGCTTCCCCAGTGCATACTTAAACATGCTCAGCTTCATCACAGTAGTTGGTACTTCCTCATTGAGAGAACATGTTTCCTTCAGCGATGGTTTATGGAGAGTATGTCGAATAATCTACAAATCTTATATCGAATTTAAATATGACAAAAGAAAAATTAACATAAACAAGCGTCAACTTACTTGTCTTCGCTTTCGATCGGTTATTTCGTCCTGTAATGGTTCAGGAATCCCTGCCACGTCAATGGTTGGGATAGCATCTTTCTTCAACCTTCTTTTGAGCTTGACTTACACGCTCAAATTAAGGTCAAAACAAGCATCTTCAAAATGCGCAGAACACAGACACGAGGTAGAGGAAGCCTCAAAAACCCGGTCTATGTTTACACACGTCTATGTTTACGCACAAAATTTACCCATTTTCTATGTCTTTGCGGCTCTGTTTCTTTTTTAGGAAAGAGATGCATCGACATTCCTTCGGTTTTTGAATCATTGGCGCAACTAATTTGATTAGGTCCGCCAGCAACACAGCGTTTTCTTCTGCGTTTCTTATTAAGATTACTAGTAGAAAACGCCATGTTGATATAGGTGTTCAACTTTCTACGTCACAAATCATTAGCATACCGATCAAAAAGTTCGCAAAAAAATGCTGAAAATCGTGACTTTGAACGTCCGTAAAATCACTTTCACCAATCCAATTTCAATTATAATTGCAGATTTAAAATCACTAAAACAAGGTCTTTCAATTTAGCTAATAAAAAAAGGGGGGCTAAAATTCGTGATATAACCGCTTTAAATGTTGTTAAAGATGTACAGTTAAATATGAATGGTACTTAATTATTACTCGTTGTCAATCAATATTTTTAGTCTTAAATGAATTTGATTTTGACCTTCTCATGGACACTGCTCTACGTCCGCTGGTTAACGTCCATGGTTACGACTAATGATAGGTTAAATTCGAGTGAGAGCTTAGAATAGTCCAAAAGTTGAAATAAGTACCTTGAGTAACATACATTATTGCGAAGGAGGCTGTTTACATAAGAAATGAAGGAAAACTTAAAAACGTCTTTTGAAAATCGATTGATAATCCGTACGTCTTCAATCACAGAATTACGAGCTGCATATTTTTATGATTGTCAGTTATTTTTCATTTTCAAATAGAACATATTTTTCAAACCTCTAAGCATACTGTATTTAGTAACTTACAACATTTAACTCTGTCATCTATGAGTGTGCTTAGCGTGTCGTAAGCTGTACTATATTTAAAATAATCGTGTCAATGTGATACGAATTCTATTTCGTCACTGTTCTACGTCACTAGGAAGTCATGTCAGATAGAGCGCGCGATATCAAGATCAGTTCGAGCGTAGATTTCACAGCGATCAGTTACAAAAAGTTCCTTTCCACACTATATTACAATTTTTTGAATTATGGCTTCTACAAATGAAGAGTATACCACAAGAGATGATGTCGGAGATGAAGCAGCACTCCTGGGTTTTGCTGAACACGATGAACAAGATGACATGATGGAAGAAAGCGAATAAGTGCAAGTAATATCAAAGAATTTGAATGTTGTAACTGCCATTTCTAGGATCAGTGAAGAAAGGACTGCAATGACTGAAGCACTCAGGTCAATGCAGCAAACGTCAGTATCCTCTACAGTAGAATCTACTCGTAAGAGAAAAGCAAGTGCTTTAATCCCTGAATCAGTGCATGGCGCAGATTGTGAAGTCTTGTTGGCACAAAACGAAGAACTTTCGACCAAGCGCAATTCTGAAGCAGAACGACTAGCAGTGGACCCATTGCTGGAAGAGATTTTGCAGACTCTAGAAGAAACTGAGAAAACTTCACCAGTTGTCAACGAGAAGCTCGCCTCAATTATCAACCAGTGTTGGCTGAATAAGCTGAGCGACGAGCAATTGAAGGAAAAACAGGCTAAATATTTTAGGCCTAAGAACTGCGATCGCCTTATTGTACCTAAGGTAAACCCCGAAATTTGGGGGAAATTAGACCGTACAGCTAGAGGGCGTGATTTACAATTGATTGCCATTCCATCAGCTCTGACGAATGTCGGTCATATAACAGCACAAACCACCAATGAACTGTTGGTTGCCTGCAATAACAGCAGCCAACTGAATATTGATAATTTTGTTCGTATGAACGCTGAAATCATAGCGATCCTGGGACATGTAAGTTTTGAATTGTCTCAACGACGACGTAACGCTATACTTCTCCATCGAGAATTTAGTACTTTATGCGCATCGCACGTTCCCATTACGAAATATTTGTTTGGATATGAATTGCAAACCCAAATTAATCATATTCGTACATCCAACAAGATTGGCAACGCGACAAGAAGCTCTTCTAATACCACTTGGCGGCAACATTACAAACAAGGGAAACGACAATGGTGCCCTTTTTCATCTCGTCATCAGGGCAACACCCCCTATCGGTCGAAGAGGAACCAATTCGGGAAGAGACGATCGGACACAATGAATGGTCGCAAGTAGAAAACACTGAATTTTGAAGAAATTTTAAGACTTTACAGGTAAATCAGTATTCTTGTTTTGTACCTACGCTAATAGCGTATTTGAATAAAAGCATGGGGACCTTCAGGCTGGCAGCATATCAAATTTTTTAAGTGCATGGGAAACACATACTTCTGATAAGGAAATCTTACAGACAGTGTCAGGACAAAAAATTGAATTTGACACAATTCCGATACAAAGAGCTTTACCCAAGCAAATAGAGCTACCCGAGGTTGAAATGAACAATATTGAATTAGAAATTAACAAATTACACAAAAAAGGCGTTTTGCAGATTTCTCACCCTGAATCAGGGGAATTTGCCTCTCCAATTTTTATTTGCCCCAAATAGACGGTTCTTATCGCATGATTCTTAATCTGAAATCCTTAAACAGGCATGTCAGATATCACCGTTTTAAAATGGAGTGTGTTTGGTCAGCTATTTGGCTTATGAAAGCAAATTGTTTCATGGCATCCATCGATCTCAAAGATGCTTACTATTCCGTACGTATTCACCCAGCATATCAAAAATTCCTCATATTTTGCTGGAGAGGGTAAAACTGGATAAGTCAGTTTTAGTTCCCCCATAAGTAATTACTTTCTTGGGTTTCGGACTCAACTCAGTTCTTATGCGAATATCTGTGACGACAGAACGAGCTGAGAAGATAAGACACATGTGTCATGAGCTGCTACAAGCTTCTCACCAAAAAATAAGGGATGTTTCTCGGATTTTGGGCACTCTAACTTCGAGTCTCCCGGGCGTAATCCTCGGACAGTTACATTATCGCTCGCTGGAAATAGATAAAAGCGATGTCCTTAAGTCAAATCGGGGTAAATTTGACAAGACAATGACACTGTCTTCAGGGGCCATACATGATTTACGATGGTGACAGTCATCAATATGCACGACATACAGGCAAATTATTCACAATGAACCTAGAATATGCGTAACAACAGATGCGTCGTTGACAGGGTGTGGCTGCTACCTAAATGGTGTATGTGATGGGGGTAACTAGACGCCCTTGGAGGCTTCCAATCATATAAATTATTTGGAAATTCTTGCGGTATTGATTGCCCTTGAGTCGTTTTCTTCAGAACTAAAAGGTAAGCAAGTTAAGGTATTGATTGGTAATACTACTGCTGTAGCTTGCATTTATCAAATGGGAACATGCCACTCAAATTCGATTCACATGTTGACATTCAATGTCTGGACCTGCTGCATTTCGTATGATATTTGGTTGACAGCAACGCACATTTCAGGATTACAAAATGTCACTGCGGATCGAGAATCTCAAATATCACGCAGAGAGACAGAATGGCAGTTGAACAAGACTCTGTTTACGTGTGCCATTCAAAAACTAGACGTAACTCCAAACATTGATTTGTTTGCATCAAGGTTGAATAATTAAGTGAAACCCTATGTTTCATACCAACTTGACCCGTATGCTATAGTTGTCAACGCCTTTATGATATTGTGGGATAATTATACCTTTTATGCGTTCCCGCCTTTCAGCATAATTTCGCAAGTACTACAAAAATAGTACAAGATAAAAGCACAGGACTAGTCTTAGTCCCTAACTGGACAACACAAAGTTGGTGGCCAGCTGTTTAACCTAGAGTAGGAACGACCTTAACTCTTCCAGCTCATCTGGATCAAATCCACCTTCTCAATACAAAACTGGAGCTTTACTTTGCCATTTATCGGGGAACTCCTCTCTGATAAAGGCATTTCACAAGAGGCTTCTCAAGTAATCCAGCAGTCTTGGCGGACCGGTACCAAGAAGCAATATTCTACATGCCTTAACCGTTGGTGACAATATTGCAACGCAAACAATATCGATCCTATCACGTCCTCTCTAGAAAAGGGCATTACTTTTCTTACAAAATTATACCAGGAAGGTTTCTTTTACAGCGGTATTAACGGTGCAAGGAGCGTCTTATCTGCTATCCTTATGCTACCAAGTGGCATCTCATTTGGTACACATCCACTTGTTGCTAGATTTGTTAAAGGTGTATTTGTTGCAAGACCAGCTATTCCTAGATATGCCATGGTCTGGGACGTTTCAGTGGTATTCAAACATCTTCGAAATCTCCACCCTTCGAAAAATCTTAATTTGATCTTGTCTTAATCATTAACACTAAAAACAGTAATGCTCTTAGCTTTGTTATCTGGTCAGCGATGCCAAACACTTCTTCATGCATTGGATATTTCTCATATGGAGAAGAAAGAAGATCGAATAGTTTTTCATGTGCACCGACTGCTCAAAACATCTAAACCTGTTAAGCATGCTGCTCCATTAGAATTTCGGGCTTATTCACCAGAGCCTGGGTTATGTGTATTCAATTACTTGTCCCATTATCTAAATGCCACTGCACCCATACGAAATGGTGCAAGACAACTCCTATTGAGCTATCAAAAACCTTATCATTCGGTCACTTCAGCGACCATTTCCCGATGGTTAAAATACGTGTTAAAGGATGCTGGTATAAATAATGAGGTTTATAGTGCACACAGTACTAGGACTGCATCAACTTCTGCGGCAAACGCATTGAATATTTCTATGGACACTATTATGAATGCAGCTACATGGAGTAATGAACAAACTTTTCAAACATTTTATAATAAACCAATTGAGACGAAGAACTTTGGCAATGATCTAATTTCTGACATTTGTGAGACATGAAATGTGAAATTTCAATTATATTATTTTGTTATTAGTTATTGCTTATATCCACATTGCTTTAAAATCTCACATGACTTCCTAGTGACGTAGAACAGTGACGAAATAGAATTAGAAAATTAAACGAGACTTACCTGAAGTCGAAATTTGATTGAAATTCTATGAGTGACTGTTCAGGAACTAGGAAGTCACCCACCCAACTACGAACATACTTCTTTTCAAATGATGTTAAATACTACTTGCCTTGCAATAAGTATGTGGACGTTTGCAAATTTTTTAAAAACTGATCTTGATATTGCGCGATCTATCTCACGTGACTTAATAGTTCCTGAACAGTAAATCATAGTGTTTCAATCAAACTTCGACTTCAGGCAAGTCTCGTTTAATTTTATAATTTTTGAACGAAAACAGAAAACTCTGTGTGCATTTGAGAGCTTAGCGCCAACTAAATTGGCTACAAAGAAGCATTACGCTTCTATTTTACAAAAATAGACGGCCATGATTTATATATTTTAATCTGAAGCTCGGTAAATAATAAATGTGCATGACAATAACAGTGCATGCAGTAGTTTACTTTCCATTCGATGAATAAATAAAACAGAAATAAATCTTCCGATGGAAAAGACATATTTTTGAAAAAATGAAACTTAAAATTGTATATGCAATTCCCTTGCATTCCCTTCGAATTAAAAGTCAGTTTTAGAGCATGAGAAGAGGTGGTGGGGTTAGGGCGTCAGAGGAGAGGGGGGATCTTCAGACGACCTATATATGCGTATGAAACGCCTGTATACATACTGAGAGTATTTCTATTTAGGATTCACGAAAGAGAGCTCTTATACAATTACAGGCAACAATAGCAACAACAGGCACAAACCGGTAATTTTTGTGGTGGTAAATATTTTTTAAACAGGTTATTCTTAACTCATGGGAATTATATTGAATTATTTTGATATACCTGTGATAAATTGAAAAATGCAGCTGAACCTATTGATACATACCATGATATCATCAACTTTGTCGTCAGATTCAACCAGCTGCATACTCAAAGCAAAAACACAACATAATGCTATCGGTATAGACTTCATCATTTATAAAAAGGACGATAAAGTCTTTTTGTTCTGCCTGTGTAATCTTTACTTTTTAAGCAGTATGCAAAGTGTCCGCAAGCTTAGATCAAGCTCTTTCCGCAATCTTGTCCAATGTTCAACTGACTCGATTGTTAGGGAGTGTTTCATTTTGTATAATATATTATTGAACTGTACGAGACACCTTAACAGACACTTAGACTTGCACATCCGATTGATCCAAGTGTACTCGAGAATGCAAATTTAGATGTGACTTAAGAAATGTACCTGCACAAGTGAAAAACTAATGATTTGAGGTACTGTGCAACAAAATGTTGTATATGCACAATATTTAGCACTATGTCCCATGGAATCGTGTCTTCCATCCCCAGGAATTGCAATAGGCTGTTTACATGCCATCACTTTCTCTATTAAACTGTCTTGGTATTTTTTTCCAGTAGATCACCAATGCAGGATATAGTTTTTCCTTCACAAAATTTTAAAAATACTTTCAAGCTTTTCATTTGATTGTAGTAATTTCTTTACAACTTTCTTTTACACCGTCGGATAAGTCTTACATACACACTGGTGAGAGAAGTATGTACTCAATGAAATGCATGCCAATCCCATGTGCTGTAGAACTCTGATCACCTTTGTCGCAGAGGTTCTAGCAGTCAAAATACCAAATGACAATAGCAAATTTCCAGCAGGAATGGAAGTCCCAATCATGACTGGTTGACTATTCCATGCTGTGTCTGCTCCACATTTTTGATTGGAACAACTAACTTTCACTTTTGCCATTGAACCCTTTTGCAATATCTCAAAAAGAACATCGTCTGATTTGCAAATTGGGCAGAATTAAAAAAGTGTAAACAGTTGGGTGAAGAACACAATGAATTTTTTCTCTGTTCTCAGGTTGGTGTCTTTGTTGAACATTCTACAAAAGAAAAAACTCAATTTATGAAATGCAATAGTAGCTATCAATAAATACAATTACATTACATACTGGCACACATTATTTGTGTCATCAAGGTAGTGACTGATTGAATAAGCTGTTTAACTTTGATTTATTTAACAATCGCCACTTTTTTAACATTGTAATGGTGATTGATAAATTAAAGTTCTCATCCAAAAATTGTTACCTTTTAAATGTTCTTGGCTACTCTGATCCATGTGTCACTAGATGTGATTATCTCCTCTGTGTCAGTCTCATAACTTTGTTCAGCACCAAGATCACTCTCTGAGTCTAAGTCACCACTAAGATCATTTGGGTCAAAAACCTCCTCAGCAGGACAACTATCAAGATCAACCACTTTGCTACTAGTTGATGAGTCTTCATTGCTGCTGTTGTTGTCATACTTATCTATGAAATAAGATACTTCAGTAATGCGCAGCTACACAAATTTGATTAAGTCCATATTTCTTAGTAATTAACTTCAATATTTTTCCAGGTGTGCATGCAAGCTTACTTGGTTGTAGAAATTGAGGTTATTAAACATGGCTGATCTTAATACGTTGGAAAATCTTCTCTTGACTTAGAATCATACACGAAATAAAATTAACAGTCCATCATCATCTTAAAAAACACTTACCCACCGCAAGCATATCCATATTAGAACTGCTTGCATAAGTTTTGCCACACTGAAGCTTATGCTTTGCCCCAAGCCATAAGTTCCTGTAACGACGTTTCTTATTTTCAAGTTTTAAATAATTTTGGCATTGTAATTTACATTGCACAGCTACTTTTTAAATTAGAAACAACAGTAATGCATATACAAAACAATAATTTACATTAACCCTTACGGCATTGGCGTAATAATCATATAAGTTTACCTTCTCTAATACAGGCTCATCACAAGTTGTTTGTTTTATTTGCTCTTGAGGTTCGCTACTTGTACTGGGAATATTTTCCGATTTAACCTCTTTTTTATAATCAGACATCCACTTTCTTTTTTATCTAAAATGACATATATTGATGAAATATACTCTTACACAGATTTCAGGTAAAAGAAAAACAAAAATGTAAATATGTATAAATTGTAGATATGCATATGTATAATTTTTAACGTACTCACCATTCTGCGATCTATTGTTGTAAGTTCATTGTCATCTTTTCAAGGATAAGCAACTATTCCGAATTCGTCTCGAACGTGTCGAGGTGCAAAATTACTTTCTGATTCAGAAAGCGAGCCGAATTGCCAAGAAAACAAATCTTTTGTGAAGTGTTCCGCGCAAACAGCGGAATTCTTTGTGAGGACCAGTGAACTCTACAACCACATGGCCATGCAGAATTGCATAGCTATTTTATTCAGTTTCAAGCTAGTGCATTTGCTAATACTCGACACCTCTACGCATGCTCTTTTATATCGTTTTTCCGTATTGCGATCATATTTGCGTATACGTGTGGACAGGCGAAAACGATTCAAATACGCTACGTGTGGACGCAAGTCTTTTCAAAAACAGAGAAAAAAACCTTCGTTTTTAAAAAACTCCAAATACGTGTAGTCAGGGTCTTAGGGGGTGTTTACATGAATCCGGAATGAGTTTCGATCCGGAATGAACTCATTCCATTTTAAAAGAAATCCTATTGCATGTTTACATGAATCCGGAATGAGTCACAACTCGATCCGGATCGAGTTCATTCCTAGTTTCATTCCGGATCGAAATTTCATTCCGGATCGAAATTTACTTTTTATCTCATGTAAACGCGAATTGAGTTTCATTCTGGAATGATATTGTGATTAATGAAGAAGCACGCATGTGCCATGGGTATTTTCTTCTGGCAAATTTAAGCTCGTAAGCAAATAAAGAGGCTAAATGGGTTAAAATGAGTGCGAAGAAAAACAACAATTAGTTTCATGTAAACACGGATTGACATCACGTTTCGATCGGGATTGAAAGTCATTCCGGATTCATGTAAACACCCCCTAAATCTGTGTTCCTTAAATGACGTCACAAGTTAGTCCCATGCCACGGATTAGAGCTCTCGACATTTTTTTCAAAACGTTGAAATTCAGGTTTTATTCGCATCTTTGCCAAAAGATAACTCAAAAACGAAAAAGTCATACAAATTCTGTATTTGTATTATTTATTCAAAATCTATTTAAGAATAAAAGACTAAAAATAGATCTATGTGCACTTTAATAACCCATCAAAAGTTGTGAACGAATCAGTGACATAGACAACAAAGAGACAACATTGAAAAGAGCTTTATGTTTATAAAAATCATAGCAACAATTATGATAAGTATAGCGTATTCAACAACAATTCAGATTCAGCTTGGTTTGAATTAAGCCTGAGGTGGTAGAACTTCTTGGATCACAATTCGAGATACTGAATTCCACCCACTGTAGACGTATGCACTGGAAAGTCCCTGACAATTACTGACATAGAAACCAACAATGACAGTACCCTTATTGATGTTACCACAATATCCCTCGATGTGACGATGATGCTTGATATCAGATGCTTCTCTAGGTCGTTTTGTGTAATAAACACCTTCAATTGTAGGATCACATTCGTTTTCATTGAATTTAAAATAAAAACGCTTGCAACACGTGTTGCAGTATTGAATAAAGAGATTTCCAGAGTAAAACACGTGAAGATAAGTATTGTCACGTTTTTTTATAAAACTGCATGTCTAGAAAAGCAAAATAACACAGTAATATACATCAGGTATGAGTGACAACATAATGCTTCAACTTTATAATACAAATTGGTTATTTTAAAAAGGAAAAGTATTTACTTTAAAAAAGAAATATGTCTAATATAACATCACTTAGAAATTTGGAATGATTAATAAAAATTACAATTCAATAACACAAAACTTATTCTTGTTATAAATATTCTCAAAATAGAGAGTCAAGACGAAACGTTACGCTACTAAATAAATATTTCTTTTTATACGTCATTTTTCAATTGAATGGCTTTTTTGAAAGCACTTTGCTGGGCTTTAATATTTATAAGAAGAATTCGCTTCCCGCCTGGTATATCTCTGGTCAGAACACATAACTTAATTAAGCCATATTATGAATGGTGTTTTTTAATGCCATGCACAAAGGGACAGGGATATAATTTATCTTTGTTTCTATTTTGCCTAAAACTGGACGAACATCAAAAGAGATTTAGTGACAAAATGACACATTCCAAATGAAGCTAAGGTACGTCAGATTACATTGCAGAAATTATGTTGAATGTCAAGACAAATGAAAAGCCTTCATACTCGTTAAATTTGTGCTCTAAAATTTTGCACACTCACGTGGCTACTCTAGATTGGTTCTGGTTTGATTAAGACAAAAATCAATCAAAAACGTAATCGAATTGAGTTTTACATAGAGAACTGTAATGATTTTTGCTTAAACCACTGCGTACAAGAAAAACACAAAACATATTATCTTATAACAGAAAATTGACTTTTGAAGTGTAACATATTTCGTTATCTCTGTACATCATGTCCATTTACTTTCAGTTTTGCCAAGCCAGTTTTAATGAAGGGCCTTTAATATAGTTCTCAAAATGTTTTAAGGTTTTTGCCTTTCACTTAAAAAAGCCAAAATTTAGAGATTGTTAATCTGGAATAAAGTTTTCTACCTTAGCGGAGTAGGAGTTATGTTCACAAATTTCAATATTTAATGAAAAGATTTCAAACTTTATGAGCTTGTACATGTTGTTGATTTTTGATTAATGTGTGTTTAAACAAAAAGAAATAACAGAAATAAATTGAATGAAATGTGACATTCAGCAACGATTTTTTGAAATGATTTTGGCATACATATAAAAAAATTTTAAATAAAAATGCAAAACCTTATCTTTTATTTATGATGACATATTTTTTTCCTTTTTTCCTTCTTAAACACAACGAAACATGTCACCATTATAGCGCAATTATAAAATTGAACTGTCACTGCCTAAATTATTACTAATAATTAATTATGTATAATGATACCTGTAAAATCAAGAATATCTTTGATCATTAACTAATTATTTCAACAAAATTTGTAGTGATTATTTACCCTTATAAGTCCATTAACTGGTCCAACCTCCTTATTCCAAAAGCATTGCTTCCAGTTGGATTCATTAGCTCCCACAGGCCCTTGTTCACCAGCTTCCCCCTTTTCACCCTTAACACCAGTCCTTCCCATACCACCTTGGATTCCTTTGTCCCCTTTTGGCCCTGATGGACCTATCTTTCCCGGCTTTCCATCACTTCCATTGGCTCCTTTGGCTCCTGGCACACCATTATGACCTGGAAAACCAGGTACACCAGGAAATCCAGGTACACCAGGAAATCCAGGTACACCAGGCGCATGACAACTGGTTTTGCTAACATTTGTTTTCTTGGGAGGACCTCTAGGTAGTCGTGTTTTCTGACAATAATTAATGAATGAAAATGATTAAGTCTCTTAAATGTTGTTAAAGATGTACAGTTAAATATGAATGGTACTTAATTATTACTCGTTGTCAATTTTAGACAGTTGATATTTTTAGATTTAAATAAATTTGATTTTGACCTTCTCATGGACATTGCTCTACGTCCGTTGATTACCGTTCATGGTGATGACTAATAATAGGTTAAATTCGAGTGAGAGTTTAGAATAGTCCAAAAGCTGAAATAAGTACCTAGAGTAACATACATTATTGCGAAGGACGCTGTTTACATAAGAAATGAAGGAAAACTTAAAAACTTTTTTGAAAATCGAGAGATAATCTTTATGGGTCAAGGAATCCGCTCCTCAGCTGGTTCGCTAACACTCTTCGTTTTGAACCTTTTATTTTACAAGCTAAACAAACTACAAGTACATCACTGGAGGATTTTTACGCTATCTATTACATTTAATTACTTACATGTATTTATACTAACGGTAATTACAACAAAACATAAGTCGTGTTTTCCTTTTTCGTCATTAGCAGTACTCACTCTTTCGTTGCGTTTCAAGTTCTCACGACGTTGCAACAAAAAGAACTAACTAAACAAACAAAGAACTTACAAAACTTACTTAAAACAAAGAAGTGTTAAAGGGAAACTGACGTAGCTACGACAATTTTATTGCTAAGCTCAAAAGAATGTCAGTATGTCTTAAATCACAGAATTACGAACTGCATATTTTTATGATTGTCAGTTATTTTTCATTTTCAAATAGAACATATTTTTCAAACCTCTAAGCATACTGTATTTAGTAACTTACAACATTTAACTCTGTCATCTATGAGTGTGCTTAGCGTGTCGTAAGCTGTACTATATTTAAAATAATCGTGTCAATGTGATACGAATTCTATTTCGTCACTGTTCTACGTCACTAGGAAGTCATGTCAGATAGAGCGCGCGATATCAAGATCAGTTCGAGCGTAGATTTCACAGCGATCAGTTACAAAAAGTTCCTTTCCACACTATATTACAATTTTTTGAATTATGGCTTCTACAAATGAAGAGTATACCACAAGAGATGATGTCGGAGATGAAGCAGCACTCCTGGGTTTTGCTGAACACGATGAACAAGATGACATGATGGAAGAAAGCGAATAAGTGCAAGTAATATCAAAGAATTTGAATGTTGTAACTGCCATTTCTAGGATCAGTGAAGAAAGGACTGCAATGACTGAAGCACTCAGGTCAATGCAGCAAATGTCAGTATCCTCTACAGTAGAATCTACTCGTAAGAGAAAAGCAAGTGCTTTAATCCCTGAATCAGTGCATGGCGCAGATTGTGAAGTCTTGTTGGCACAAAACGAAGAACTTTCGACCAAGCGCAATTCTGAAGCAGAACGACTAAAAGTGGACCCATTGCTGGAAGAGATTTTGCAGACTCTAGAAGAAACTGAGAAAACTTCACCAGTTGTCAACGAGAAGCTCGCCTCAATTATCAACCAGTGTTGGCTGAATAAGCTGAGCGACGAGCAATTGAAGGAAAAACAGGCTAAATATTTTAGGCCTAAGAACTGCGATCGCCTTATTGTACCTAAGGTAAACCCCGAAATTTGGGGGAAATTAGACCGTACAGCTAGAGGGCGTGATTTACAATTGATTGCCATTCCATCAGCTCTGACGAATGTCGGTCATATAACAGCACAAACCACCAATGAACTGTTGGTTGCCTGCAATAACAGCAGCCAACTGAATATTGATAATTTTGTTCGTATGAACGCTGAAATCATAGCGATCCTGGGACATGTAAGTTTTGAATTGTCTCAACGACGACGTAACGCTATACTTCTCCATCGAGAATTTAGTACTTTATGCGCATCGCACGTTCCCATTACGAAATATTTGTTTGGATATGAATTGCAAACCCAAATTAATCATATTCGTACATCCAACAAGATTGGCAACGCGACAAGAAGCTCTTCTAATACCACTTGGCGGCAACATTACAAACAAGGGAAACGACAATGGTGCCCTTTTTCATCTCGTCATCAGGGCAACACCCCCTATCGGTCGAAGAGGAACCAATTCGGGAAGAGACGATCGGACACAATGAATGGTCGCAAGTAGAAAACACTGAATTTTGAAGAAATTTTAAGACTTTACAGGTAAATCAGTATTCTTGTTTTGTACCTACGCTAATAGCGTATTTGAATAAAAGCATGGGGACCTTCAGGCTGGCAGCATATCAAATTTTTTAAGTGCATGGGAAACACATACTTCTGATAAGGAAATCTTACAGACAGTGTCAGGACAAAAAATTGAATTTGACACAATTCCGATACAAAGAGCTTTACCCAAGCAAATAGAGCTACCCGAGGTTGAAATGAACAATATTGATTTAGAAATTAACAAATTACACAAAAAAGGCGTTTTGCAGATTTCTCACCCTGAATCAGGGGAATTTGCATCTCCAATTTTTACTTGCCCCAAATAGACGGTTCTTATCGCATGATTCTTAATCTGAAATCCTTAAACAGGCATGTCAGATATCACCGTTTTAAAATGGAGTGTGTTTGGTCAGCTATTTGGCTTATGAAAGCAAATTGTTTCATGGCATCCATCGATCTCAAAGATGCTTACTATTCCGTACGTATTCACCCAGCATATCAAAAATTCCTCATATTTTGCTGGAGAGGGCAACTATATAAATTTGTCTGTTTTCCTAAAGGCCTAGCCATCTATTGATGATAGTTGGCTGACATCCGACACATATGTTTTATGTGTTCGGAATATTTGAGATACCCTCTGCTTATTTAGTGAAGTGGGGCTTATCTGTAAAACTGGATAAGTCAGTTTTAGTTCCCCCATAAGTAATTACTTTCTTGGGTTTCGGACTCAACTCAGTTCTTATGCGAATATCTGTGACGACAGAACGAGCTGAGAAGATAAGACACATGTGTCATGAGCTGCTACAAGCTTCTCACCAAAAAATAAGGGATGTTTCTCGGATTTTGGGCACTCTAACTTCGAGTCTCCCGGGCGTAATCCTCGGACAGTTACATTATCGCTCGCTGGAAATGGATACATGATTTACGATGGTGGCAGTCATCAATATGCACGACATACAGGCAAATTATTCACAATGAACCTAGAATATGCCTAACAACAGATGCGTCGTTGACAGGGTGTGGCTGCTACCTAAATGGTGTATGTGATGGGGGTAACTAGACGCCCTTGGAGGCTTCCAATCATATAAATTATTTGGAAATTCTTGCGGTATTGTTTGCCCTTGAGTCGTTTTCTTCAGAACTAAAAGGTAAGCAAGTTAAGGTATTGATTGGTAATACTACTGCTGTAGCTTGCATTTATCAAATGGGAACATGCCACTCAAATTCTATTCACATGTTGACATTCAATGTCTGGACCTGCTGCATTTCGTATGATATTTGGTTGACAGCAACGCACATTTCAGGATTACAAAATGTCACTGCGGATTGAGAATCTCAAATATCACGCAGAGAGACAGAATGGCAGTTGAACAAGACTCTGTTTACGTGTGCCATTCAAAACTAGACGTAACTCCAAACATTGATTTGTTTGCATCAAGGTTGAATAATTAAGTGAAACCCTATGTTTCATACCAACTTGACCCGTATGCTATAGTTGTCAACGCCTTTATGATATTGTGGGATAATTATACCTTTTATGCGTTCCCGCCTTTCAGCATAATTTCGCAAGTACTACAAAAATAGTACAAGATAAAAGCACAGGACTAGTCTTAGTCCCTAACTGGACAACACAAAGTTGGTGGCCAGCTGTTTAACCTAGAGTAGGAACGACCTTAACTCTTCCAGCTCATCTGGATCAAATCCACCTTCTCAATACAAAACTGGAGCTTTACTTTGCCATTTATCGGGGAACTCCTCTCTGATAAAGGCATTTCACAAGAGGCTTCTCAAGTAATCCAGCAGTCTTGGCGGACCGGTACCAAGAAGCAATATTCTACATGCCTTAACCGTTGGTGACAATATTGCAACGCAAACAATATCGATCCTATCACGTCCTCTCTAGAAAGGGCATTACTTTTCTTACAAAATTATACCAGGAAGGTTTCTTTTACAGCGGTATTAACGGTGCAAGGAGCGTCTTATCTGCTATCCTTATGCTACCAAGTGGCATCTCATTTGGTACACATCCACTTGTTGCTAGATTTGTTAAAGGTGTATTTGTTGCAAGACCAGCTATTCCTAGATATGCCATGGTCTGGGACGTTTCAGTGGTATTCAAACATCTTCGAAATCTCCACCCTTCGAAAAATCTTAATTTGATCTTGTCTTAATCATTAACACTAAAAACAGTAATGCTCTTAGCTTTGTTATCTGGTCAGCGATGCCAAACACTTCTTCATGCATTGGATATTTCTCATATGGAGAAGAAAGAAGATCGAATAGTTTTTCATGTGCACCGACTGCTCAAAACATCTAAACCTTTTAAGCATGCTGCTCCATTAGAATTTCGGGCTTATTCACCAGAGCCTGGGTTATGTGTATTCAATTACTTGTCCCATTATCTAAATGCCACTGCACCCATACGAAATGGTGCAAGACAACTCCTATTGAGCTATCAAAAACCTTATCATTCGGTCACTTCAGCGACCATTTCCCGATGGTTAAAATACGTGTTAAAGGATGCTGGTATAAATAATGAGGTTTATAGTGCACACAGTACTAGGACTGCATCAACTTCTGCGGCAAACGCATTGAATATTTCTATGGACACTATTATGAATGCAGCTACATGGAGTAATGAACAAACTTTTCAAACATTTTATAATAAACCAATTGAGACGAAGAACTTTGGCAATGATCTAATTTCTGACATTTGTGAGACATGAAATGTGAAATTTCAATTATATTATTTTGTTATTAGTTATTGCTTATATCCACATTGCTTTAAAATCTCACATGACTTCCTAGTGACGTAGAACAGTGACGAAATAGAATTAGAAAATTAAACGAGACTTACCTGAAGTCGAAATTTGATTGAAATTCTATGAGTGACTGTTCAGGAACTAGGAAGTCACCCACCCAACTACGAACATACTTCTTTTCAAATGATGTTAAATACTACTTGCCTTGCAATAAGTATGTGGACGTTTGCAAATTTTTTAAAAACTGATCTTGATATTGCGCGATCTATCTCACGTGACTTAATAGTTCCTGAACAGTAAATCATAGTGTTTCAATCAAACTTCGACTTCAGGCAAGTCTCGTTTAATTTTATAATTTTGAACGAAAACAGAAAACTCTGTGTGCATTTGAGAGCTTAGCGCCAACTAAATTGGCTACAAAGAAGCATTACGCTTCTATTTTACAAAAATAGACGGCCATGATTTATATATTTTAATCTGAAGCTCGGTAAATAATAAATGTGCATGACAATAACAGTGCATGCAGTAGTTTACTTTCCATTCGATGAATAAATAAAACAGAAATAAATCTTCCGATGGAAAAGACATATTTTTGAAAAAATGAAACTTAAAATTGTATATGCAATTCCCTTGCATTCTCTTCGAATTAAAAGTCAGTTTTAGAGCATGAGAAGAGGTGGTGGGGTTAGGGCGTCAGAGGAGAGGGGGGATCTTCAGACGACCTATATATGCGTATGAAACGCCTGTATACATACTGAGAGTATTTCTATTTAGGATTCACGAAAGAGAGCTCTTATACAATTACAGGCAACAATAGCAACAACAGGCACAAACCGGTAATTTTTGTGGTGGTAAATATTTTTTAAACAGGTTATTCTTAACTCATGGGAATTATATTGAATTATTTTGATATACCTGTGATAAATTGAAAAATGCAGCTGAACCTATTGATACATACCATGATATCATCAACTTTGTCGTCAGATTCAACCAGCTGCATACTCAAAGCAAAAACACAACATAATGCTATCGGTATAGACTTCATCATTTATAAAAAGGACGATAAAGTCTTTTTGTTCTGCCTGTGTAATCTTTACTTTTTAAGCAGTATGCAAAGTGTCCGCAAGCTTAGATCAAGCTCTTTCCGCAATCTTGTCCAATGTTCAACTGACTCGATTGTTAGGGAGTGTTTCATTTTGTATAATATATTATGAAACTTTAAGAGACACCTTAAGAGACACTTAGACTTGCACATCCGATTGATCCAAGTGTACTCGAGAATGCAAATTTAGATGTGACTTAACATCCGTTTAAACATCTCCTTATTGAAATTATATATATAAATACATCATCCTCTTATTAAAATTATATACATTAAATCCCCTGAAGAGTGCGCAATCACGAAACAGGCTTGTCGGGATGATTCTGTAGTTTTCGTGAATTTTTCCAACATCACTACTTATATATAATTATATATGTATAAAAAAAAAATTTCTCCTCATTGTATAAGTGTCAGCAAGCTTAGATCAAGCTCTCTCAGCAACTTTAGATTGAGCTCTTTCAGTAATCTTGTCCAATGTTCAACTGATCGATCGTTAAGGAGTGTTTTATTTTGTATAATATATTATTGAACTGTACGAGACACCTTAACAGACACTTAGACTTGCACATCCGATTGATCCAAGTGTACTCGAGAATGCAAATTTAGATGTGACTTAACATCCGTTTAAACATCTCCTTATTGAAATTATATATATAAATATATCATCCCTTTATCGAAATTATATATAAATTAAATCCCCTGAAGAGTGAGCAATCAAGAAACAGGCATGTAGGGATAAATCTGTAGTTTTCGTGATTTCTTTCAACATCACTACATATATATAAATATATATGTATAAAAATGAAAGTTTCTCCTAAATGTATGAGTGTCAGCAAGCTTAGATCAAGCTCTCTCAGCAAATTTAGATTAAGCTCTTTCAGTAATCTTGTCCAATGTTCAACTGATCGATTGTTAAGGAATGTTTCATTTTGTATAATATATTATGGAACTTTAAGAGACACCTTAAGACACACTTAGACTTGCACATCCGATTGATCCGAATGTACTCGAGAATGCAAATTTAGATGTGACTTAACATCACTTTAAACATCCCCTTATTGAAATTATATATATAAATATATCATCCCCTTATTGATATTATATTAATTAAATCCTATAAAGAGTGAGCAAACACGAAACAAGCTTGTCAGGATGAATCTGTAGTTCTCGTCAATTTTTCAACATCACTACTTATATATAAATATATATCTATAAAAATGAATGTTTCTCCGGATTGTATAAGTGTCATCAAGCTTAGATCAAGCTCTTTCAGCAATCTTGTCCAATGTTCAACTGATCGATTGTTAAGAAATTTTTCCATTTTGTATAATATATTAGGGAATCTTTAAGCGTAATCACAACACCTTAAGAGACACTTAGACTTGCACATCTGATTGCTCCGAGTGTACTCGAGAATGCAAATTTAGATGTGACTTAACATCCCTTTAAACATCCCCTTATTGAAATTATATACATTAAATCCCCTGAAGAGTGCGCAATCACGAAACAGGCTTGTCGGGATGATTCTGTAGTTTTCGTGAATTTTTTTCAACATCACTACTTATATATAAATATATATGTATAAAAATGAAAGTTTCTCCTAAATGTATGAGTGTCAGCAAGCTTAGATCAAGCTCTCTCAGCAAATTTAGATTAAGCTCTTTCAGTAATCTTGTCCAATGTTCAACTGATCGATTGTTAAGGAATGTTTCATTTTGTATAATATATTATGGAACTTTAAGAGACACCTTAAGACACACTTAGACTTGCACATCCGATTGATCCGAATGTACTCGAGAATGCAAATTTAGATGTGACTTAACATCACTTTAAACATCCCCTTATTGAAATTATATATATAAATATATCATCCCCTTATTGATATTATATTAATTAAATCCTATAAAGAGTGAGCAAACACGAAACAAGCTTGTCAGGATGAATCTGTAGTTCTCGTCAATTTTTCAACATCACTACTTATATATAAATATATATCTATAAAAATGAATGTTTCTCCGGATTGTGTAAGTGTCATCAAGCTTAGATCAAGCTCTTTCAGCAATCTTGTTCAATGTTCAACTGATGGATTGTTAAGAAATGTTTCCATTTTGTATAATATATTAGGGAATCTTTAAGCGTAATCACAACACCTTAAGAGACACTTAGACTTGCACATCTGATAGCTCCGAGTGTACTCGAGAATGCAAATTTAGATGTGACTTAACATCCATTTAAACATCCCCTTATTGAAATTATATATATAAATATATCATCCCCTTATTGAAATTATATACATTAAATCCCCTGAAGAGTGCGCAATCACGAAACAGGCTTGTCGGGATGATTCTGTAGTTTTCGTGAATTTTTCCAATATCACTACTTATATATAATTATATATGTATAAATATGAAAGTTTCTCCTGATTGTATAAGTGTCAGCAAGCTTAGATCAAGCTCTCTCAGCAACTTTAGATTAAGCTCTTTCAGCAATCTTGTCCAATGTTGAACTGATCGATTGTTAAGACGTTTTTTCATTTTGTAAAATACATTATGGAACTTTTAAGCGTAATCACAACACCTTAAGAGACACTTAGACTTAAACATCCGATTGCTCCGAATTTACTTGAGAATGCAAATTTAGATGTGACTTAATATTCCTTTAGATCCCCTTCTTGAAATTATCTATAAATATATATCATCCCCTTATTGAAATTATATACATTAAATCCCTTGAAGAGTGAAAAATCACGAAACAAGCTTGTCGGGATGAATCTGTAGTTTTCGTGATTTCTTTCAACATCACTACATATTTATAAATATATATGTATAAAAATGAAAGTTTCTCTGGATTGTATAAGTGTCAGCAAGCTTAGATCAAGCTCTTTCAGCAACCTTAGATCAAGCTCTTTCAGCAATCTTGTCCAATGTTCAACTGATCGATTGTTAAGAAATGTTTCCATTTTGTATAATATATTAGGGAATTTTTAAGCGTAATCACAACACCTTAAGAGACACTTAGACTTGCACATCTGATAGCTCCGAGTGTACTCGAGAATGCAAATTTAGATGTGACTTAACATCCATTTAAACATCCTCTTATTGAAATTGTATATATAAATATATCATCCCCTTATTGAAATTATATACATTAAATCCCTTGAAGAGTGCGCAATCACGAAACAGGCTTGTCGGGATGATTCTGTAGTTTTCGTGAATTTTTCCAATATCACTACATATTTATAATTATATATGTATAAAAATGAAAGTTTCTCCTGATTGTATAAGTGTCAGCAAGCTTAGATCAAGCTCTCTCAGCAACTTTAGATTAAGCTCTTTCAGCAATCTTGTCCAATGTTGAACTGATCGATTGTTAAGACGTTTTTTCATTTTGTAAAATACATTATGGAACTTTTAAGCGTAATCACAACACCTTAAGAGACACTTAGACTTAAACATCCGATTGCTCCGAATTTACTTGAGAATGCAAATTTAGATGTGACTTAATATTCCTTTACATCCCCTTCTTGAAATTATCTATAAATATATATCATCCCCTTATTGAAATTATATACATTAAATCCCTTGAAGAGTGAAAAATCACGAAACAAGCTTGTCGGGATGAATCTGTAGTTTTCGTGATTTCTTTCAACATCACTACATATTTACAAATATATATGTATAAAAATGAAAGTTTCTCTGGATTATATAAGTGTCAGCAAGCTTAGATCAAGCTCTTTCAGCAACCTTAGATCAAGCTCTTTCAGCAATCTTGTCCAATGTTCAACTGATCGATTGTTAAGAAATGTTTCCATTTTGTATAATATATTAGGGAATTTTTAAGCGTAATCACAACACCTTAAGAGACACTTAGACTTGCACATCTGATAGCTCCGAGTGTACTCGAGAATGCAAATTTAGATGTGACTTAACATCCATTTAAACATCCTCTTATTGAAATTATATATGTAAATATATCATCCCCTTATTGAAATTATATACATTAAATCCCCTGAAGAGTGCGCAATCACGAAACAGGCTTGTCGGGATGATTCTGTAGTTTTCGTGAATTTTTCCAATATCACTACTTATATATAATTATATATGTATAAAAATGAAAGTTTCTCCTGATTGTATAAGTGTCAGCAAGCTTAGATCAAGCTCTCTCAGCAACTTTAGATTAAGCTCTTTCAGCAATCTTGTCCAATGTTCAACTGATCGATTGTTAAGACGTTTTTTCATTTTGTATAATCATTATGGAATATTTAAGCGTAATCACAACACCTTAAGAGACACTTAGACTTGAACATCCGATTGCTCCGAATTTACTCGAGAATGCAAATTTAAATGTTACTTAATATTCCTTTACATCCCCTTATTGAAATTATCTATAAAAATATATCATTCCCTTATTGAAATTATATACATTAAATCCCTTGAAGAGTGGAAAATCACGAAACAAGCTTGTCGGGATGAATCTGTAGTTTTCGTGATTTCTTTCAACATCACTACATTTATATAAATATATATGTAGAAAAATGAAAGTTTCTCCGGATTAAATAAGTGTCAGCAAGATTAGATCAAGCTCTTTCAGCAACCTTAGATCAAGCTCTTTCCGCAATCTTGTCCAATGTTCAACTGATCGATTGTTAAGGAATGTTTCATTTTGTATAATATATTATGGAACTTTTAGAAACACCTTAAGACACACTTAGACTTGCACATCCGATTGATCCGAATGTACTCGAGAATGCAATTTTAGATGTGACTTAACATCCATTTAAACATCCTCTTATTGAAATTATATATATAAATATATCATCCTCTTATTGAAATTATATACATTAAATCCCTTGAAGAGTGCGCAATCACGAAACAGGCTTGTCGGGATGATTCTGTAGTTTTCGTGAATTTTTCCAACATCACTACTTATATATAATTATATATGTATAAAAATGAAAGTTTCTCCTAATTGTCTAAGTGTCAGCAAGCTTAGATCAAGCTCTCTCAGCAAATTTAGATTAAGCTCTTTCAGTAATCTTGTCCAATGTTCAACTGATCGATTGTTAAGGAATGTTTCATTTTGTATAATATATTATGGAACTTTAAGAGACACCTTAAGACACACTTAGACTTGCACATCCGATTGATCCGAATGTACTCGAGATTGCAAATTTAGATGTGACTTAACATCACTTTAAACATTCCCTTATTGAAATTATATATATAAATATATCATCCCCTTATTGATATTATATTAATTAAATCCTATAAAGAGTGAGCAAACACGAAACAAGCTTGTCAGGATGAATCTGTAGTTCTCGTCAATTTTTCAACATCACTACTTATATATAAATATATATCTATAAAAATGAATGTTTCTCCGGATTGTATAAGTGTCATCAAGCTTAGATCAAGCTCTTTCAGCAATCTTGTTCAATGTTCAACTGATCGATTGTTAAGAAATGTTTCCATTTTGTATAATATATTAGGGAATCTTTAAGCGTAATCACAACACCTTAAGAGACACTTAGACTTGCACATCTGATAGCTCCGAGTGTACTCGAGAATGCAAATTTAGATGTGACTTAACATCCATTTAAACATCCCCTTATTGAAATTATATATATAAATATATCATCCCCTTATTGAAATTATATACATTAAATCCCCTGAAGAGTGCGCAATCACGAAACAGGCTTGTCGGGATGATTCTGTAGTTTTCGTGAATTTTCCAATATCACTACTTATATATAATTATATATGTATAAATATGAAAGTTTCTCCTGATTGTATAAGTGTCAGCAAGCTTAGATCAAGCTCTCTCAGCAACTTTAGATTAAGCTCTTTCAGCAATCTTGTCCAATGTTGAACTGATCGATTGTTAAGACGTTTTTTCATTTTGTAAAATACATTATGGAACTTTTAAGCGTAATCACAACACCTTAAGAGACACTTAGACTTAAACATCCGATTGCTCCGAATTTACTTGAGAATGCAAATTTAGATGTGACTTAATATTCCTTTACATCCCCTTCTTGAAATTATCTATAAATATATATCATCCCCTTATTGAAATTATATACATTAAATCCCTTGAAGAGTGAAAAATCACGAAACAAGCTTGTCGGGATGAATCTGTAGTTTTCGTGATTTCTTTCAACATCACTACATATTTATAAATATATATGTATAAAAATGAAAGTTTCTCTGGATTGTATAAGTGTCAGCAAGCTTAGATCAAGCTCTTTCAGCAACCTTAGATCAAGCTCTTTCAGCAACCTTAGATCAAGCTCTTTCAGCAATCTTGTCCAATGTTCAACTGATCGATTGTTAAGAAATGTTTCCATTTTGTATAATATATTAGGGAATTTTTAAGCGTAATCACAACACCTTAAGAGACACTTAGACTTGCACATCTGATAGCTCCGAGTGTACTCGAGAATGCAAATTTAGATGTGACTTAACATCCATTTAAACATCCTCTTATTGAAATTATATATATAAATATATCATCCCTTATTGAAATTATATACATTAAATCCCTGAAGAGTGCGCAATCACGAAACAGGCTTGTCGGGATGATTCTGTAGTTTTCGTGAATTTTTCCAATATCACTACTTATATATAATTATATATGTATAAAAATGAAAGTTTCTCCTGATTGTATAAGTGTCAGCAAGCTTAGATCAAGCTCTCTCAGCAACTTTAGATTAAGCTCTTTCAGCAATCTTGTCCAATGTTCAACTGATCGATTGTTAAGACGTTTTTTCATTTTGTATAATCATTATGGAATATTTAAGCGTAATCACAACACCTTAAGAGACACTTAGACTTGAACATCCGATTGCTCCGAATTTACTCGAGAATGCAAATTTAAATGTTACTTAATATTCCTTTACATCCCCTTATTGAAATTATCTATAAAAATATATCATTCCCTTATTGAAATTATATACATTAAATCCCTTGAAGAGTGGAAAATCACGAAACAAGCTTGTCGGGATGAATCTGTAGTTTTCGTGATTTCTTTCAACATCACTACATATATATAATTATATATGTATAAAAATGAAAGTTTCTCCTGATTGTCTAAGTGTCAGCAAGCTTAGATCAAGCTCTCTCAGCAAATTTAGATTAAGCTCTTTCAGTAATCTTGTCCAATGTTCAACTGATCGATCGTTAAGGAGTGTTTCATTTTATATAATATATTATGGAACTTTAAGAGACACCTTAAGAGACACTTAGACTTGCACATCCGATTGATCCAAGTGTACTCGAGAATGCAAATTTAGATGTGACTTAACATCCTTTTAAGCATCTCGTTATTGAAATTATATATATAAATATATCATCCCCTTATTGAAATTATATATACATTAAATCCCCTGAAGTGTGAGCAATAAAGAAACAGGCTTGTCGGGATAAATCTGTAGTTTTCGTGATTTTTTCCAACATTACTATATACATATAAATATATATGTATAAAAATGAAAGTTTCTCCGGATTGTATATAATGATTTTACTGAGCCTTCAACTTGGTGCTTTGAGCCTTCATCAGAAAGATATAAGTAATTATATACAGTTGTTTTTCATTTTTATACGCTTAGGAGATCTAATTGTATTAGCGGGTGGGTTAATGTGATTGGATGTGGTGAAATGCGTTGGAATTGGTATTAGTGTATTGTGAATAAGATCGGTGTTAATATTATTATAGTGTTTGTTGTTGTTTTGGTGTTGTTTGTACTTTGCAGTTTTTTTGTCCTTTTTCTTTAGTTGAGAGTATATGATGGGTATGTCGATATTGTTAGGGAGTGTTTCATTTTGTATAATATATTATGAAACTTTAAGAGACACCTTAAGAGACACTTAGACTTGCACATCCGATTGATCCGAGTGTACTCGAGAATGCAAATTTAGATGTGACTTAACATCACTTTAAACATCCCCTTATTGAAATTGTATATATAAATATATCATCCCTTATTGAAATTATATACATTAAATTCCCTGAAGAGTGAGCAATCACGAAACAGGCTTGTCGGGATGAGTCTGTAGTTTTCGTGAATTTTTTCAACATCACTACTTATATATAGTTATATATGTATAAATATGAAAGTTTCTCCCGATTGTATAAGTGTCAGCAAGCTTAGATCAAGCTCTCTCAGCAACTTTAGATTAAGCTCTTTCAGCAATCTTGTCCAATGTTGAACTGATCGATTGTTAAGACGTTTTTTCATTTTGTAAAATACATTATGGAACTTTTAAGCGTAATCACAACACCTTAAGAGACACTTAGACTTAAACATCCGATTGCTCCGAATTTACTCGAGAATGCAAATTTAGATGTGACTTAATATTCCTTTACATCCCCTTCTTGAAATTATCTATAAATATATATCATCCCCTTATTGAAATTATATACATTAAATCCCTTGAAGAGTGAAAAATCACGAAACAAGCTTGTCGGGATGAATCTGTAGTTTTCGTGATTTCTTTCAACATCACTACATATTTATAAATATATATGTATAAAAATGAAAGTTTCTCTGGATTGTATAAGTGTCAGCAAGCTTAGATCAAGCTCTTTCAGCAACCTTAGATCAAGCTCTTTCAGCAAACTTAGATAAAGCTCTTTCAGCAACCTTAGATCAAGCTCTTTCAGCAACCTTAGATCAAGGTCTTTCAGCAATCTTGTCCAATGTTCAACTGATCGATTGTTAAGAAATGTTTCCATTTTGTATAATATATTAGGGAATTTTTAAGCGTAATCACAACACCTTAAGAGACACTTAGACTTGCACATCTGATAGCTCCGAGTGTACTCGAGAATGCAAATTTAGATGTGACTTAACATCCATTTAAACATCCTCTTATTGAAATTATATATATAAATATATCATCCCCTTATTGAAATTATATACATTAAATCCCCTGAAGAGTGCGCAATCACGAAACAGGCTTGTCGGGATGATTCTGTAGTTTTCGTGAATTTTTCCAATATCACTACTTATATATAATTATATATGTATAAAAAGGAAAGTTTCTCCTGATTGTATAAGTGTCAGCAAGCTTAGATCAAGCTCTCTCAGCAACTTTAGATTAAGCTCTTTCAGCAATCTTGTCCAATGTTCAACTGATCGATTTTTAAGACGTTTTTTCATTTTGTATAATCATTATGGAATATTTAAGCGTAATCACAACACCTTAAGAGACACTTAGACTTAAACATCCGATTGCTCCGAATTTACTCGAGAATGCAAATTTAGATGTGACTTAATATTCCTTTACATCGCCTTCTTGAAATTATCTATAAATATATATCATCCCCTTATTGAAATTATATACATTAAATCCCTTGAAGAGTGAAAAATCACGAAACAAGCTTGTCGGGATGAATCTGTAGTTTTCGTAATTTCTTTCAACATCACTACATATTTATAAATATATATGTATAAAAATGAAAGTTTCTCTGGATTGTATAAGTGTCAGCAAGCTTAGATCAAGCTCTTTCAGCAACCTTAGATCAAGCTCTTTCAGCAAACTTAGATAAAGCTCTTTCAGCAACCTTAGATCAAGCTCTTTCAGCAAACTTAGATAAAGCTCTTTCAGCAACCTTAGATCAAGCTCTTTCAGCAACCTTAGATCAAGCTCTTTCAGCAATCTTGTCCAATGTTCAACTGATCGATTGTTAAGAAATGTTTCCATTTTGTATAATATATTAGAGAACCTTTAAGCGTAATCACAACACCTTAAGAGACAGTTAGACTTGCACATCCGATTGATCCGAGTGTACTCGAGAATACAAATTTAGATGTGACTTAACATCCCTCTAAATATCCCCTTATTGAAATTATATGTATAAATATATCATCCCCTTATTGATATTATATATACTAAATCCTATGAAGAGTGAACAATCACGAAACAAGCTTGTCAGAATGAACCTGTAGTTTTCATCATTTTTTCAACATCACTACTTATATATAAATATATATAAGTTTGAAAATTTGTAATCCAGGCATTGAAAAAAAATTAAAAAAAATCCGGAGAAAAAAAAAAAAAAAAAAAAAAAAAAAATCCGGAGAAACGTTTTATCTTTTATATAAATATATATGTATAAAAATGAATGTTTCTCCGGATTGTATAAGTGTCAGCAAGCTTAGATCAAGCTCTTTCAGCAACCTTAGATCAAGCTCTTTCAGCAATCTTGTCCAATGTTCAACTGACTCGATTGTTAGGGAGTGTTTCCATTTTGTATAATATATTAGAGAAGCTTTAAGCGTAATCACAACACCTTAAGAGACAGTTAGAATTGCACATCCGATTGATCCGAGTGTACTCGAGAATGCAGATTTAGATGTGACTTAACATCCCTTTAAATATCCCCTTATTGAAATTATATGTATAAATATATCATCCCCTTATTGATATTATATATACTAAATCCTATGAAGAGTGAGCAATCACGAAACAAGCTTGTCGTGATGAATCTGTAGTTCTCGCGATTTTTTTCAACATCACTACATATATATATATATATATATTGATAAGAAGCCAAGTGATTGCTCACTCTTCAGGAGATTTTGTGTATTCATTAAAGCCCCTGAAGAGTGAGCAATCACGAAACAGGCTTGTCGGGATGAAATTGTAGTTTTTGTGTATTTTCTTCTTCTTATCAATATTTACGCTCTGCTCTCGGGCATCGAGCACTGTTTTATACGGAAAATCATAAATTATAAACTTCCTATATATATATATATATAAGTATAAAAACGAGAGATTCTCCGGATTGTATAGATTTCAGCAAGCTTAGATCAAGCTCTTTCAGCAAACTTGTTTAATGTTGAACTGATGGGTTGTTAAGGAGTGTTTTCAGTTTGTATAATATATTATGGAACCTTTAAGCCTAGTTTCCATTAAATCGTAGGAGTCGTAAATATCGCGTCGCATACGTCGCTACGACTTCTGCGACTTAATGGAAACTTGATTCGAAGCGATTAAGACGACAATTGCGATAAAGTCGTAAGGATAGGTTTGTGGCGATTTTTGCGATGACGATTGCGACTGTTGATGCAAAATCATTTTAATGGAAACGTCCCTGCGATAATTTAAGAGCAATGCAGCATACCAGAAACCATAGCGCGCCGCTTTTCAGGTAGAGTTCAGGCTACGCCGGCACCCGCGACCCACCCGCATCTATAAAAACAAAATGGCGGCCACTACAAACGAAGTTTTTATGGAAATTGTAAGACAGTATCCAGTTTTATATGATCGCTTTTCAAAAGATTTTAAAGATAAATTCAAGAAAGAAAGCGCTTGGAGTAAAGTGGCGGAAACTACTGGATTGTCTGTTGAAGATTGCATTAAGAAGTACAAAAATATACGGACTAATTACGTTCGTAATTGGAAGAAAAGAAAACCGTCAGGCTCAGGAAGAGAATCTGATAACAGCGA